CTTGCATGCCGGATGCCTCAGACACTTAGCACTGAAAGATTTGTGTGCTTGGTGGGATAACATTTTGTGCAGAAGAAATGCATTCCTGCTGGTAATCTGATTTTTTTTCTTTTCCTTTCAGGCGCGAAATCGAAACACGGCCTCCTTCCTTTTTGCACGCGTGTGTCTTATTTACTCACCCTGATGATGTCATTACTAAGCACTGCTCCTCCTTGAACTATTGCTTGTGCAAGAGAAGCACCTAATGAGCCAAGCAATGCTGTGTCAAGATGCCACTCAAGATTCTTGTAATTCCCACACACACACACACACCCTGCGAACATCCCCTCTTCCACTCACATGATGGCCCCTTTTGCCTCCGTGGCCATCTCTGCAAACACATAATAAAATGATGCTTCTTCTTTTATCAAGGTGCATAAGTGGTGCCATCCGTGTGAATCCTGTCCTAATAGCAGCTGTTGCAGCAGGAAGCCTTCGGGAAGACCTCGAGTCCCTGGCCTGTGTTTCCCTAGCTTTACAACTCCTTTCTTTGTGCCCCTGCTCATCTTCCCCTACACCTTCCCCCCCCCCATGTAGGTATGAAAAAGGAGGAGATGGGATTGCAGGCAGAGGGACGCGACCGGCATTTGGCTGTCAATGCAAAGCAGCGGCCCAAATTTCAAAAGGGGTGGTGGAGGTGGTCACAGTGAAGCCATTTTCACTGCTTTAGTGAAAGTGCTTTTAGCAGTTTTGGAATCCCAGGCACACAGAGCATGATTTGCCTCGGGTCTCACGTACAGTGGGGTCTCTACTTAAGAACATCTCTACTTAAGAACAATCCAACTTAAGAACAGCTCCATTTGCTAAATTTTGCTTCTACTTGAGAACAGAAATCCAAGATAAGAACAGGAAAAAAAAAAACCTTTCTTGCTCTTTTTTTAACCTTAGTTAAAAAAATTTCTCCCCCTAGTGGTAGAGTACGTATTAACCAGCTTTGCATTAGTTCCTATGGGAACTAATGCTTCAATGTACAAACGCACCTCTACATAACAAAAAAACAGCTAGAACGGATTAATTGGTTTTCAGTCCATTCCTATAGGAATTTTTGCTTCAACTTAAGAACACCATTCCAAAACGGATTAAGTTCTTAAAGAGGTTCCACTGTAGTTTCTATGGACGGAAAAGAGCAGATACGGATTAAATGGTTTTCAATGCATTCCTATGGGAAAATGCAGATTCAACATAAGAACTTTTCAACTTGAGAACCACCTTCCAATACGGATTAAGTTCTTAAGTAGAGACCCCACTGTACAAGGAGGGTTAAATCACGTGAATGCAGACGCAAAAGCTGAGGAGGTGCTAGGACTTTGAGAGGGGAAATCCCACAGAGGTTTGATCTCACAACTGGGCACAGTTAAAAGGAGTCCAGGGAAATCTGAGGGACACCCGAGGGACCATCTTCTGACCCAGGTGGCCTGTGGTAGTACCTATTAGGTTGAATCATAGAAGTTGGAAGGGGCCTCTTGAGACCATCCAAGCCAACCCCCGGCCCCCCGCTCAGTGCAGGGATCCAAATCAAAGCAGATCGGACAGAGGGTGGTCCAATCTTCTTCTGAAGACCTCCAGCGTTGGAGAGCTCACCAAGGGTCGCGAAGTGTGGATCCGACGACTTGTGAAGACGTTGGCAACGTGATAAGGCTGGTGCAGTTTTATAAGGCCACCCTGAACGAATGAAGCCAGACGGTGCAGGATCACCAAGCGGGAACAGTGCGCTGTACTGCCAGAGGAGTGAGGTTGCCACCCATGTTGTGGAAGGAAAGCGTCTTTCCTTGGCTTGTAAGAAAATGCCCTCTCTGTTGACCCAAGAGAAGGCTGAGCGTGATGAAGAAAGCCAGCCCCAGCCTCTGGAAAGCGGCCCGAGGGAGACCAGCAGCCATTCCTGGCCCAGGAATGGACGCGTGTGGTCCAGCGGGCCAGGGTGGAGGAAGGGAATTACAAGCAGTGAAGGGGATTTGAACCCGAGGATGAGAAGCTTCAACAGAAGACATAGAGCTTGGGACACGGGCGGGGTGCTGTACGAGAGGGTGTCCAGAATGAGCCCACCATGCGCGTGATGGTTGCCTAGAAAGAAAGTGGGAAGGTGGCCAGACCCTGACATAGAGGAAGCAGAGCAACATCTTAAGGAGCAAAGCCTGTTCCAAGGGAGCAAAGCTCTCTCTGGTTCACGTTGCGCTCTCTCTCTCTCTCTCTCTCTCTCTCTCTTTCTCTCTCTCTCTCATGTGGACACAAAAAGGCAGGGGAAGACTTTGGTTCTGAGTCCCAAGTCTGAATCTTAATTAAAAACAAGCTTTTTCCCCCCAGAAAAAAAAGGCAGGGGTGGGTGGGTTCTGAGTTGCAAGTCGAGACGAAGTACAGTCATTGGGGGGGAGGGGAGAACCGAGTCAAGTCCAAGTTGACTCATTGGTGCAACTTAAGGCTGACTTGACAGCAAGTCCTGCGCCTCTTCAAGTCCCCACCTGTGGTTAACACCTTGCCATCTTCAGTGAGGGAGGGGTCTTAGGCAGGACCTCGCAGCTCCACCAGGTAGGTTTTTCTCTTGGGTGGCGTTCAGGTATGTGTGTGTGTGTGTGGATTTTTCTTCAGGTCATAATAAAGAGAACTTGTTTGCCAACCAAAGAGGAGGAAGTGATAGAGATGCTAAACACCCCAAATAACAGAATTCTCATGAAAAAGTCTCACAACCGAAAAGGGATGTAACTAGAATGGTTTCTTCTTTCTTTATTCATATCAGAGCACCGTGCAATTTAAAATTATGGATCTATATTAAATACAGTATAGGTAATATTTGTTTTTAAAAAATTAAGATAATATCCTGCTTTTTCAGTGTAAGTGGAGTGACTGAAAAGGCATGCACGTGTGCCGGCATGCGTGTGCACGCACAGTGATCCAGCAGCTGGAAAAAACAAAAAACAAAAGGAGTTTTACAAAAATGCTGGTTCGTTTGTTCATTGGTTCATTGGGTGCTCTTAGTCCAATTTCCATCCACTAGTTTTTCTGGAGGAAAACCAATCATACTGGGAAAGCTAGACGGCAGCAGGAAAAGAGGAAGACCGAAAACGAGATGGATGGACTCCTTTCAAGGAAGCCACAAGCTTGAGTTTGCAAGACCTGAGCAGGGCGGTTGAGGACAAGACAGGTTGGAGATCCCTCGTTCATGGGGTCACCCTTATTCAGAGGTGACATGATGGCATATAAAACCAGCAACAGCAATTAATTATTTAATTCACTCTCTATGTGGGCTCCTTCCTTCCAGTCTTCCTGGTATTCCCTTGGGCTCCTTTCCTGAACCACTTTTGCCTGCATGGTCTGTGTGGTCTGGACGAGACATGGGGACAAATGCAGAAACGAATCGCCCTTGTCAATGAATTTCGCCAAATTGTTACATATTCATCGCTCCGTATTCGTCCAACGAATACGAAACAATGAATATTTGCCCAATTTTATTCGTTGAGTTGTCGATTCATCTATATGCGCCAATTCGCCACCCCTTTTTGGGGGGGGGCTGCGTACCATCTGTTCAGCCTGCTGGTCCTAATCAGGAGCTCTGGACCATCCAGACAGTCTGGATTGGCATGCCAGGCAGCCAGTATTGCTGCTGAAAAGGCTGCGTTGGGGGGTGGGTGTAACTTTCCCAGAGGCTTTTCTGCATGGCTCAGCTGCCTCAGTGGTCCCTGGAGAGGTGGGAAGGCCCAGTGGGTGGAGCTGACAGCCAATGAGATAAAGAGCACGAGGGGGATTCCGGAATGTTTCCCATCACAAGAGAAGGTGGTTGGAGGTGTTGAAGGAAAGAGCTGAGCAAGGGGGGGGGAGCAGGAGGTGAGCAAGGAGGCAGGTGTGTTGCCCGAGGAAGGGAAATGTGACCCCCAAGAAGGGGCTCTGTTCTAGGTGCCTAAAAGCTGGCCTTTCAGGACATCCTCCCCAATCTTCCAGTAGAAGACTTTTTCATGTGAGGCATGGGGGTCTGAAGGAGGGGAGGAATCGCCTTAGAAATCTGTTGCCACTGAGCCACGGGTACCGGTGGGTCTGGGAAGCCGGCAGTATCCCATCGCCCTCTTCCTCCTGGCCAGGAAAGACGGGGATCCCGGTCCAAAATGAAAGAGGAGCGGAGCGCTAGGGAGCTCCTTGTACCGTCCCTGTGTCGGATGGAGACCCTGCGAATGACTTGGAACGGGTTCTTAAAATGCTGATTGAGAGGCTTGGGCTCCGAGAGGTGGTGCGAACGCCCTACCCCATTGTATGTCCCCACAGATTCGATAAAGGATGAAACAGTAGGACATCAGAAGAGGACATGGCACCCAAGAAGCCACCAAAAGAAGCAGCAGCACCAAAGGAAAGTACGTTTTTTTCTGGCTCTGATTCTCCTTCTGTGAGAACACGAGACACGGTCTCTTGGACATCCTCTCTCCCCATAGAGGCCCACTCTGCCTCAGTGGCCATAGGGAGCGAGTGTCCAGAGACTTTGGGGGGGGGTGGAGCAGGGTACCTCCTTGGGCCCACCTGACCCCTCTGCTCCTGCCCCATGCTTCATGCTCCCTCCTTCTTGTTCCTTCCACCCGGGAAATGTGAGACACTGGTGGAGCGAAAGGAGTTGAGCTACTTAAACTTGACTTCTGTCTAAGCTATTTTCCCATCCTTCCGGTGGTCCCTTGCATCCATTCAGGCTGGTGGCACCGAGGCCAGGCCAGCCAAAGCCAGCGGAAGCAGGCAGAACCACGGGCCAGGCTGGCCGTTCGCAGCAAAACAAGCCGAGGCGAACCCTGGGCTCCAAGTGTGCCAACCACACCGTGAAGAACTGAGGGTTGTTGTTGTTGTCGTTTAGTCATTTAGTCACGTCCAAGTCTTCGTGACCCCATTGACCAGAGCACGCCAGGCTCTCCTGTCTTCTACTGCCTCCCAGAGTCTGGTCAAATTCACGTTGGTCGCTTCGATGACACTGTCCAACCATCTCGTCCTCTGTCATCCCCTTTCTCCTCTTGCCCTCACACTTTCCCAACATCAGGGTCTTTTCCAGGGAGTCTTCTCTTCTCATGAGAGATGGCCAAAGGATTGGAGCCTGGGGGAGGCACTCACAAAAACAGAGCTCAATGGAAAAGCAAAGACCAGCGAGTGTAGACAGGGCTGGTCGATCCAACCAGCAGCTTCTCAGCGTGGGATTCAATAGAGTTTATGTTCGTGAGCAACGAGAGCGAAGTAGGAAGTGGTTAAGAAAAGCGTGCTGGAGGGGCCTCGCTGGACTCCTCTGGCTGAAGACCGTGAGGCCGTGGAAGGGTGTAGGGCAAACAAATTTCAAAGCAGAAGGGTGACAAACCTTGGAAGTGAGGCTGAGGTCAACTGGTGGCCCTCATCAGAGCTGGAGAGCAAAGCCAAGCATGAAGGCCCATGGAGGCAAGAACTCAGCAACAGCCGGAGGGCCACAATTAAGCCCGACCTCAGCTCCTCTTGGGCAGAGTTGTCTGTACTCCTCTGCCTCTTCTGAGTGGGCTTCCCCATGCTTGCTTCTTTGTGGACTTCATGGCCTTTTGGGCGTTCTTATGGCTCTCTCGCACGCACAGGCACCAAATCAGGGCACCGATCTCTCAACCACGCAGGGGTCGCAAAAAAGCAGATGGAGGTTCAATCCGTAGAGTCCACATGTCTTGCTGGGAAGGAAGAATCTAAGGACCATCAAATGGGGCTCCACAAGCACCACGTTCTGCCCTAAACGATCCCCTACGTTTGCTGGGACTAAGAGAGACCCTATTTTCAGATTTTGCCCTTTGAAAATCCAAAACATCGCCCCGTCGTAAACAGAAAATGTCTTATCCAGTACGAGGGTCACAGGCGGTGAGCCGTGTCACGGGGGATCTCGAGCAGCTCCCAATCTGAGCCCGAAGTGCGTGTTAAGAAGTACAGTTTTTTAAAATAGTGAGACTGTCCTAAAGCTTTTTGATCCGTTTCTTCAAAGAAATGCTGATTTGTTAAGGAAGAGGAGGCGTGGGGGATAGTAGGCGGAAAATCCTGGTAAGATCCGCACGCCAGTGGTGCCGACGGGCACACAGCAGGAAGAAAAACGTTCCACGTGGATGACCCCGATGGAGGCCTCCCATTAACCCACCTGGTCTCACGGAGAGAAAGTCTCTTCCCCTGATCTCAGAACACTGCCCTCAAAGACAGTTGAACGCAATATATTGTTGCGTCTGGATGTCGCTATTCGTTCATAAGGCTGTGATCCGGCAGGGAAGTAGATCCCATTCTGGAGTGCTTATGGAGCGGTCCCGTGTGACCTGATTCCCAGAGATTGCTTAACCTATGGGCAACTTCAGCCTGACCCCAGTCTGTGCCTTTCTAGTCCAGGTTTATACTTGGGGGGGGGGGCTTGGCTGGGCTGGAGCGATTCCCCAACAGACGGAAGGGATCTTTTAAGGGAGGTCACTCTCCATGAAGCTGCCCGTGCCAGGGTAATCAGGTACACCCCTTTCCAGCCGTCTGATCGCATCCTGAAATGATCTCCACCCACACAACCTGTGGCCCCAGTAAAATCACCCCAGAGGTAACCCCCCCCCCAATTGATTCCTTCCTAGGTTGTGCAGCCCCATCTAAGACTTGGTTGTACTCTTCCATCCAGAAAGGCTGGTTTCTGTAGTCCTGGGGCCACACATAGATCTGGATGAGGCTTCCGTGGGTTCACCATCGTCTCCTTCTTCTAAGATGGCCTCAACACTCTTGTTCAAGTGTCAGGAGGAGGGCGTACCCTTTGGGGAGACAGTGTGGGGAAACCCCGGCTGCTGAGGGAGGCAGGCCCACTGGGCTCTCGAGAACTCCTTCTTCCAGCGCAAGCTGTCCATCCTACTCGATCATCCCAGGCAGGATGTCTGAGGGTGCTGACTTTGAGAGAGGACTGCAGGGAGAGGACTAGCAGACGGGCCTTTTCGGCAGTTGCACTAAGATGCTGGAATCGACTGCCTCTGGACATTCGCCTGGCCCCCTCACTGATGATTCTTTAAAAAATCATTTAAAACCTTGTTAGTTAGACAGATATTTCCCTCCATGGAAACTCGTGAAAAGTTCAGCCACTGAATCACAGAATCCTAAGATCATGCCCACTGGTCCCATCACCTCTTGGCAAATAGAAGGGGAAGATAAGGAGGTGGTGACAGATTTTACCTTCTTGGCTCCATCTTAAAAAGAAGAGACATTACCTTGCCAACAAAAGTCCGAATAGTCAAAGCTATGGTTTTTCCTGTCGTGATGTATGGAAGTGAGAGCTGGACCATAAAGAAAGCAGACCGCCGAAGAATTGATGCCTTTGAATTGTGGTGCTGGAGGAGACTCTTGAGGGTCCCCTGCACTGCAAGGAGAACAAACCTATCCGTTCTGAAGGAAATCAACCCTGAGTGCTCACTGGGAGGACAGATCCTGAACCTGAGGCTCCAGTACTTTGGCCATTTCATGAGAAGAGAGGACTCCCTGGAAAAGACCCTGATGTTGGGCAAGTGTGAGGGCAAGAGGAGAAGGGGACGACAGAAGTCACTGAAGCGACCAACATGAATTTGACCCAACTCCGGGAGGTAGTGGAAGACAGGAAGGCCTGGCGTGCTCTGGTCCATGGGGTCACGAAGAGTCGGACACGACTAAACGACTAAACAAGAAAAACAAGAATGATGGAGTTGGGAGGGGCCTCGAGAGCCATCGAGTCCAACCTCTTGCACAAGGCAGAAATCCAAGTCAAAGCCGACCGGACAGGTGGTGGTTCCGTTTTCTCTTGAAGGCCTCCAGCATTGGAGCGCTCGCCACCTCCCAAGGAAATTGGTTCCATTGCCATACTGCTTGGTCCTACTGCCTTTCAAAAAAAACAAGAATGATGGAGTTGGAAGGGGCCTCGAGAGCCATCGAGTCCAACCTCTTGCACAAGGCAGAAATCCAAGTCAAAGCCGACCAGACAGGTGGTGGTTCCGTTTTCTCTTGAAGGCCTCCAGCATTGGAGCGCTCGCCACCTCCCAAGGAAATTGGTTCCATTGCCATACTGCTTGGTCCTACTGCCTTTCAAAATATGTAATGGTTAACGGTTCGTTATGTAATAGTTTAATGACTGCTTTTATTTTATGATATCATAGGTTGATTTTATTTTAACTGTGTTATTGTCCAATCATGTTGCAAACTGCCCAGCTTGACGGGCGATATACAAATTAAACAAACAAAAAAAAAACAAGGAGAAAATTTTAAAAAATTAACAACCACCCCTTTTCCACTAATCACCTATATTGGATAGAAAATTCTACATAGAAGACATTTATACACTGTATTTTTGAAGGCTTTCATGGCTGGGATTTGATGGTTGCTGTGGGTTTAGGAAAAACAACCTTCAGAACACATCCAAAGAGCCCGAAAAACCCACACCCTAATCACCCAATCTCCTGAAAAGGACAAAAGGTGTTCCCACAGCTACAAATATTCAACTCTCCCGCAAACTGCACCAGAGCACAGAGAGAGTTTTGACTCCTGTCCTCTGGAGATGCCGTCCACAGAGACTGGTGAAACGTCAGGAAGAACAACCTTCTTGGCCAAAGAGCCCGAAAAACCCACAGCAACCATTTATGCACTATTTCATGAACCTCGTGTCACCAGCTGAGTGGGAGCTAGGAATGTAGAAAGACGCCACATATCACATCCCATATTCCTTCAACATTTCATGTTCTAAGGGCAGCTTACCCTATCAAGGTGTTGCCATACTGGCGAGGGAAGGAGTTCTTAGACTCACGTGGCAGCTCCTACCCCCTTGAAGAGAAACACCCTCCATTCCTCCCTGCTAATTTCAACATTGGGAGCGGCATGGAGGCAAGGGTATAAAACCCCTTTCTGGGTCCTCGTGTTGCTTTGGGCGAGCAGGCTGGCCAACGGTGCAAAGCCAGGCCTCCATGGGCAGCACCAAAATGGAGCCTGGGGGTGGTGCTCAGCAGCACTGGAGGGCATCTGTGGGTAGCCTTTGGCTATTTGGTGTCTCAAGGTGGACCCCTGTCCACCATCAATACTATAAGCCTGCTCAGGATCCCATGGCCTCCCACCTCCATCTGAAATCTAGATTCTAGACTCAGAGAACGAAACTCACCGGAAAGGGGTGTCTGGTGGGCCATGGAGCACAACTGCCCATCCTGCCATAATATGGCATCCACCCTCTTTTGGGTCCCTCATCAGCCCTCGGATTCCTCAAACCAGTGAACGTGGGAGCTTCTGGTCCAGTCTTCATTTCTAGAGAATAAGCTCCGGTGTTGTTGTTTTGTTTTGTTTTTTTGCTTTCTCGACAGAAGCAGGAGAGCCCCCCAAACCTCCAGGTCCAGGCGATGAGGCACGTAAGTCGGCGTCTTACCCTTCAGCGGAGGGAGAGTGACCGGGAATGGGTGAGGGATGGAAGGGGAGGAGGGATCTGGAGCAAGGCAAGAGGCAAGGGGCACGAGAGGGGGAAACAAAGGGGAAGCCCGTCAACGGCCAGATCCTGGGGATTCGGGGCGCCCTGCGGAGGAGCAAAGGACCAGGAACCTGGAACCCCTCTCTTTGCAAGCCATGGCGGGCATGACCGAGGAGAGGGTCTCTCCAAGCATGGAGCGGTGGGAGGTGTTGTGTCCTCAGACGTGGGCTTCTTTCCCACCAGACCCTTCTGTTTCCTCAGCCGGGTAGGCAGGGGGGGGCACCTTGACCGGGAGGATCTGGGCTCCTTCTCCCATGGGGCAGGGTAAATCCTCCACCTCGGAACTGCGCCAGAGGAGAGGGCGGCGGTGGCAGAGGAGGAGGAAGAAGCGATGCAGCGGTGGGGCACATCTGTGCCGTTGTAATCATCCTCACCATCCTCTTAGAATGGCAGGGCTGGAAGGGGCCCTCTAGATCATCCGGTCCATCCCCGGTCCAGGAGGCACCGAAGGTGGGGGTGGGTGGGAATCGAACTCAGACAGAGACCGGAACCCTTGAGCAGTGCTATGTGAACCCAGAACTCACTGCTGGGGGTGGGGGGGCCAGCCGCTGGCTCTGCAGACAGAGACCGGAACCCTTGAGCATTTCAGCAGTTCTATGTGAACCCAGAACTCACTGCTGGGGGTGGGGGGGGTGGGGGTGTTGATGGAATAGTGGCTGCGACTCATGTACTTTCTTGCTTTCTTCTCCTTCGATGGAAAAAGCGAAAAAACCATTCCTCGAAACCCCAGAAGGCGCAAAAACGGTCAGAATATTGGCGGCCGTCTGGTTCGTCCTTGCAGTTATCATGGTCATCATGTGTAAGTTCAACTTTCCCCTTGCTTTTTTCTTTTCTTTCTTTCTCTCTTAAACTCGTCCAGTGCCGAATTACTTTGGCTTTCACTCCCATGTGGAAAGAGGTCCCTTTCATAAACCAAGGGAACAACGGGGGCCTCGGCTAGCCCACACCTCCTCCCCCCCCCACCTGCCGTGTAACCTGTCAATTCCAGTGAGTAAGGTAAGGGGGGGTGATTAAATTTTCCCCACGGAAATCAATGCCAAGGCCGTGTTCCTTTGAATATCTGCTGAGCCATTTCTGCTTAATGCCAGCCCCTCAGTCCTTGGTCTCCATTCCTATGACATCTGAAGTGGCTGAAGGGTTAGACAGAGTCTCCCCCCCCCATGTATTCCTGAGCACAGTTCTGGACCTCCCCGCGCTTGCACGGGAGATCTTTGGCCAAGGGGCCTCATCGCTGGACCAGGCACCCGCTGAGCCAGGAAGGGTTGGAAACAAGACTCCAGGGATCAGGCGTAAGGGTCCCCAGCACAAAACCCGCTCGGGTGCTTCCAGGCTGCAGCCAGAGTGATCGTGCGCCCACACCAGGTGTGGCCGCACAGAGCATACGTGCCATACGGTTGAGGTGTCGGAACACTCTCTGACGTCTTTCTCCTTGTTCAGACGCGGTCCTGCTCAACAAAGACTGGAACATCCGCCAGGCCCTGATCATGATGCGAGAATTTGCCATTGAGTTCGATCCGAGATACGAAGACAAGACTGGTAAGCCCCAGGATTCCGTCTGAGGGCTCAGCGCTCCTCCTTGCCCTCTCGTAGGCCCAATGATCCCTCCACAAACAGAGTTGACTCCGGTCTTGCAGCTCAGATGCTTGGGGCGGGGGAGAGAGAGAGGGACACACACCCCTGAGGTTGGAAAGCTTTTTTTTATTAGTGGTGCCTCATGCCTCACCTCTTCCGCTTCTGCAAGCAGAACTTTATTCTGGCTGTGCTCCTTATGGGCTGAGAGTCGTGCAGGGAAATCTCGTCAGGGCCTGCAGCGAGTGACCGCGTTGCGAAAAGCGTCTGGCTAGCTGGGCCACGGGTGCGAGGAATCGTGACCGATGCCCAGGGAAGAAATCTCCATGTTTCCTTCTGAGGGAACCGGAGAGACCCGTTGTGCCACGGCTCGGTGGGTGGCTCCTCTGTGCTTTCCCACTGCGCATGAGGTCGTCTGCCTCTGTCGCTTCTGTGAGCAGGGGCCGGGATGTGCAGGGTGTCCCGTCGCAGGTGCTATGGGGGAGGTGGCCTCCTCTGATGCTATCCAGCTTTTGCAGCCAGCTGCCTCCGTAGCCCAAGGATCCCCTGATCCTTGGCCAGGGCATTCCAACCAAAGGTTCGTGCATCATCATCACCAGCACCACCACCGCTATCTCACCAAGAGTGGGGGCCAGGCTCTCTGATGGGAGTGGTATCGTCACGACAGTGGTGGCGGCGGCTTTGGTATTTCTGCCCTGATGTTAACTTGGCATGTTTTGCATCACCTCAATAAACCTCTGGAGCACTAAAAGTTCCACATCAAGCTCAGCGGCAGGAACCTATAGGTTGGCCGCTGGTGGAAGAGAGGATGTGTGCTGGGCAAGGCAGCGATTCAAAAGGCACCTGGAATGCACAATTTTTTTTGCATTAGAACAGGAGAAAGAGAGAGAGAGAGAGAGATCCTTTTTCAGTCTTTCAATGTTTTGAGATAGAGAGAGCACATGTGCAAAGAGATGAAAAGGGATGGGCTGAGCAGGGCAGCAAAGCACCAGTTCGTGAGAAACAATTGGTCTAACGGCCATTCCCGGAAGGATCCTGGAATTGTTATAGGTCACGAGCTGAAGATGAGCCAACAGGGTGAGGTGGCTGCAAAAAAAAAGGCGAATGTGATTTCAGGATGCATCAACAGAAGTATAGTTTCCAAATCCCACAAATTACTAGCTCCCCTGTATTTGGCACTCATTAGGCCTCATCTAGAGTTCTGTCTCCAGTTCTGGACATCAAACGTTGAGAAAGATGCAGACAAACTGGAACAAGTTCAGAGGAGGGCAACCAGGAGGAGCAAGGGGACTGGAAACCAAGCCTTGTGAGGAAAGGCTGAAAGCACTGAGCCTGTTTAGCCTTGAGAAAAGAAGACAGAGGGGAGATACAGTATGACAGCACTCTTCAAACCCTTGAAAGGCTGACCGACAGAGAAGGGGTAGGATCTGTTCTCCATCATCCCGGAGTGCAGCCATGGGCTTACGTTAGAGGAAGCCAGGTTTCAGTTGACTACCAGGAAAAACTTCTCACCTGCAGTGTAGCAATCCAGTGTGGGTAAACTGGGAAATCGGGACACTGGCTTTGCAGTAAAGCAACTGGGGGTCCAGTGTTCAGGGGGGAAACCCTGCAGCAGGAGATATTGGCATACAACCCACAATGCAAATGCCGGTCTGGATTGCCTTAGTGAGGGAATGTAGGGCAGAAACCCCTTAAGATCAACAGGCTGCTGTTTTAGGGGGGGGGGTTCAGATTGCTAGTTTACAACTCCCTCTGATTTCGATGATTGCAAATTTTTCAGATTTCCAGGTTGTTGGCCTGGCTCAAAACCTGTCCTCCGAAATGCTTGAATGGGGACTTAAAAACGACGAACTACAAGCAGAAATAGGTAAGGCGTTTAGAGATGGTGATGAGGTCTATAAGGCTCACGGGGGCAGCTTCCAAGTCATGGCACCTGCTGAATATCATTCCCCCCACACACACACACACACCTCCGTGGGGGGGGGGGGAAGCACAAGAAGTCCTGAGCCATCCATCTATCTTTCAGTTGCCTGTTAAAAGCATACCTATTTGGAAGGAAGATGGGCCAGGAAAACAGTGGGAAAAGGTTGTTTTTTTTAATGGAGGGGTTTGTTTGATTGTTTTAATGTTGCTTGTTTAAAAGAAATAAAGCGGTTAAGTATCGGTGGGATAAGAAAGGAAAAGTGCCGGCTACTGTAAACGTAAAGCTGCCCTCAAAACCCGTAGCCAAATCCTTTGGAAACAAAGCTTTCCCTTCAAGAGGTTTCTCTGTTTCTCTGCAAACAGAGAACTAGAAACACCGCACTAGAATTCTTCGGGGGAAGATGGCCGGCTGGCTTTGCCCCCTTTCGTGTGTGGCCCCGAATTCTGGAACGGTGCCCCCCCTCTTCACAGGGGTCAAGAGAGGCCCGTGGGATTTACCCTCCCTCCTGCCAGTCCTGGGAGTGAGGATGCTGCGGGATTTTTCCCCTGCTGCATTAGAGGCAAGAACAGGGTGCCATCCTTTCCTCCTCTCCCATCCCACCTCCCCACCCCGGGCCGTTTCCTTCCACAGGGTGGTTTTGCAGCATGGCCAAAGCAGGCGGTCTGGTTTCGTTTCTCGGTCCAGATAATTGCTCCAAGTGCCTTCGGAGGAGGCGTCCAGATTCAAACCATGGTCTGGACTTCTCCAGGCTGATTCGGACCTGCTCGGGGTCGGTCCAAATGGGTCCAGCTCCTTTGGTGATTTGACCCATAGGCCACACAGCCCTAGTAAAGATAGGTCAAAGAAGGCCAGAGTTTCTGGCTGATTAGATAAGTGCCCATCTTTCCTCTACACCCACTTGTATTTTTATGGGATGCTCTGCGCATCGAGTGAGAAAGAAGCCCCATTTAATTCATGAAGACCTGGTAAGCTGGTCTAGTATTTCAGAGCAGAACCCCACGAGTAAAAATAACGGCGGTTTAATCAACTTAGGCATCATTTAAATCAAATTATGGTTTCACGACACTAGTGAAATCATTTTATTTAGCCTCCAAAGGTGTGCTTTCGTTTTTAATTGACCAGCAGGAGCTTTTTAAAATAACTAACTTGTAAATCGATTTAAATCAATTCGGTTTGGCAGGTGTGGACAGTACAAACTATTTACTTCATGCTCCTGTTTAATGTCAGCTGCAGCCTTTTGCCATTCTTGGCTGCTTGGAGCCACCCATTTATCTCTGTATCGCTTTTTTTTTAAAAAAAAATTATATAAGGCAAATGGTCATGGAAAAAGGGTTATAAAGAAGAAAGGAAACATTTATTTATTTATTTATTTATTTATTTATTTATTTATTTAGTTAGTTAGTTAGTTAGTTAGTTAGTTAGTTAGTTATTTAGTTATTTAGTTATTTACTTATTTAGTTATTTTATTTTATTTTATTTTATTTATATGCCGCCCACTCTACCCAGAGGTAGATTTCATCAGTGTAGATGCCAAAACTGGTTTAAATCACCGGAAATAAATCGGTTTCCATTGAGTGAATGCAGCCACCAACGTAAATATCATGTGATTTGAACCAATCTTTAAAAAGGCAGAAATAAATTCAAACTACCCATAGAACCGCATAAATCTTCATAAATTGTGCTGGAGCCTAATAGAGTCTCTGCACATAATTCTGTTTTACCTGTTTGTTTATTTAAAACCTGTGCCAACATTTCAGGTCATTTCTGCTCCAACGTGTCTGGTGTTCTCTTTTCTTCCTTCATGCATCCCCTCCTTTTGTTGGAAGATAAGCTTGCTAAGACGCTTGATCAGTGGAAGGCATATGATAAGAACCTTTATCACTTTTCGAAAGATGACGTAAATTGGAACGAAGCCGTAGATGAATGTAACACAAGAGAATCTGGACTGGTTTTTGTTAAGTGGGGTGAAGAACAAGTAAGTAGAACCACGAGATTTGCCAGGGCAGGAATAACTGTTCTGTAGGATATTGCCGTTGCAGCCTTAAAGGGCAAAGCAAAGGTGTTCGGACTGGAGATGGACATAAAACAAACCATGAAGCAAAAGCGAAACAACAACAGAAAAAACCATGCATCATTTTGTGGTTCATTTTGGGTTGCTTTCGGGAAACATGCCTGCCCAGAACGAAATGAAATGCTGAACTATTATCAGACTTGCCAATAAGAGCACTAGTTACATCCTGGCTGGATTACTGTAACACGCGGTATGTGGGGCTGCCCGTGGAAAGTGTCAGGAAACTTCACCGAGTCCAAAATGCAGGAGCCAGATGGCTGACTTGGGCTGGTTACAGTGATCACATAATCCCCGTGTTAAAGTAGCTCCACCGGCTGCCGATCCATTTCTGGGCACCATTCAAAGCGCTGGTTTTAACCTGTAAAGCCCTATATGGCCTGGGCCCAAGCTGTCTCAAAGATCATTTTTGTTGTTGTTTAGTCAACAACAACAACAACAACGACTCTTCGTGACCCCATGGACCAGAGCACGCCAGGCCCTCCTGTCTTCCACTCACTGCCTCCCGGAGTTTGGTCAAATTCATGTTGGTCGCTTCGATGACCCTGTCCAACCATCTCGTCCTCTGTCGTCCCCTTCTCCTCTTGCCTTCACACTTTCCCAACATCAGCGTCTTTTCCAGGGAGTCTTCCTTCTCATGAGATGGCCAAAGGATTGGAGCCTCAGCTTCAGGTTCTGTCCTTCCAGTGAGCACTCAGGGTTGATTTCCTTCAGAATGGATGGGTTTGTTCTCCTTGCAGTCCAGGGAATTCTCAAGCGCCTCCTCCAGCACCACAATTCAAAAGCATCCATTCTTCGGCGGTCAGCTTTCTTTATGGTCCAGCTCTCGGACAGATCCTGAAGCTGAGGCTCCAGTACTTTGGCCATCTCATGAGAAGAAAAGAGTCCTTGGAAAAAACCTTGATGTTAGGAAGGTGTGATGGCAAGAGGAGAAGGGGACGACCGAGGATGAGATGGCTGGACAGTGTCTGCGAAGCAACCAACATGAACCTGACACAACTCCGGGAGGCAGTAGAAGACAGGAGGCCCTGGCGTGCTCTGGTCCATGGGGTCACGAAGAGTCGGACACGACTAAACGACTAAACACACACAAACAAGTTATGTTGTTGGCAGCCAGTGAAGAAATCCACTGGTGGCAGCGAAAGAAAGAGGGAACATCACCTGCGAGAACCTTTGGTTTGGGAAAGAAAGAAACGGGCACAAGTGAACGTAGCATTATGAGCTGGCTCCCATTACGAGTTAAGATCATTAAGAGAGGCCTTCCTCTCAGTCTCTCCACCTTCACAGGTGTGCTTGGTGGGGACACAGGAAAGGGCCTTCCCTGTGGCTGCTCCTTTAGACTCTGGAACTCCCTGCCACTGGAGGCCAGCCTGGCCCCATCTTGGCTATCCTTCCGCAAGCAGACAAAGACCTTTCTCTTCAGGCAGGCTTTTCCTTAATGACTGGTGGTCTGGGAGGACACAAGAGTTTTTTTTTTTTTTAATGGATTGCCATTCTCTGTTTTAAATGTGCTTTATTTGGTATTTATTGTATTTATTGTTTTTTAACACAATACCTGTTTAATTCTTTTTAGATATTTGTTTTTAGCTGGTAAATATTGTCTTTTTAATGATGTAAACTGCTTTGGGTCCTTTTTGAGGAGAAAGGCAGGATAAAAATATTCTGAATGAATGAATGAATGAATGAATGAATGAATGAATGAATGAATGAATGAATGAATGAATGAATGAATGAATGAATGATCAGATGCAGAAGATGGAGGTTCTGTAGCCAGGAAAATCAATATCAATTTTCTGCCTAGAAATGGATATGGAAGGTGTTGTTCCCGAGGGCAGTTTGGGGCTGGTTTCCTCAGACCTTGGATTGATTATCCTACTGGAACCAGCAGGTTTGTGGGCAATCAATGGTCAATGAAAGACTAATATTTGTTATGTTTGAGGTCTAAAATATTGTTCTAATGTTTGTCTATCGTGATGGACAGTTTTTGGCAACAGTTTTTAAGAAGTCCCTGTTCCATTCCGTTCCATTCCATTTCAGCTTTTACCTAGTCCCCCACAAGGATAGGAGAGAGAAAATTGTACAGTTCTGGAGTAAATGCTGGGCACCTCAAAATCCACCACAACACCACTGCATGTCAGGAAAGCTTTAAGAAGGGAAGGCTTGCCCTTTGTTGGACTGAATATTTTTCTGGTTGACCTTTTCCAGGCCTTTATAGATGACCAAGTTTCTCAACAAAAGAAGCCATACTGGATTGGACTTAAGAAAAACGAGAGTGCCTTTAATGGCGTCATATGGCTTGGTGGATTCAAAGCTGGAACAGTGTGAGTTTTCAAACAAAATTTCATTATTTTCTGCATCCGAGAAAGTTTCTCAGAAGTCCCCTGCATTTTCTGACCAAGGAGCCACTGGTTTTCTTTGTGTGCACTGAGTTTAGAATCCAGCGCTTGGTTGATTTTCCAGAACATTAGCCATTCTGAATTAAGAAAGGGAATTTGTAGCAGATCTGCAATATTTTTGGTGCCCCACCACATCAGATGTCATGGATACTAGAATCAGAGAAGGGTAGAAATGGAGTCCTTGTTTTGTTTGCTGGAAATCTTTACTACCGCTCCAGATTTGGTGTCATCTGCAAATTTCATGAGCATCTGCACTACATTTGAGCCATGCTGTGCCCAGGACAGAGCCCTCTGGGGCCTCTCTTGTCACTTCTCTGGAGGTTGACAATGAACCCCTGAGGAGAGTGTTGCAACCAGGACTAGTCTCCTGGAATAGTGAGTCAACGTTTTAACGCCAATAACCTTGACACGAGAGAGAGAGAGAGTTCAAATGATTGCTGTTTTGTTTAGCTAAATAAAAGGCGTGACGGAAGTCATGCCTCCAAGGAACAACTGTGCCATGGACTTTAATAACATTGGTTACACAGGAGAATGGGAGGAGAAATGGGTGGTTCATGACCTTTTGGCAGAAGGGATGGAGCTACAACGGAATCCAAAACTTTATCAGAGTGGGAATCATAGGAAGGATGGAATTTTACAGCAGGATGGGTCTATAGACAGCAATTATGGAAATACATGGTTGCATTGTTGTATTGTTCTGACAGGAAAACAATTTATTATCTTGCAAAGAGGTTACAAGGTTGGATGAAAAAAGGAGACTTTCCAAGGAAATAATGTTTGTACAGGAAAAGGTATTGTGCAGTGAGATTGTCCAGGTTCTGGAGCTCAATTTGATATGGCTCCCGCCATACCTTAATTTCTTGTATTTCATCGGTAAGCGTTTCGCTTACCGATCTTCGCATTGCAATGTTTTTTGAACAGCTGATCGGCGGTTCCAAAATGGCCGCCGAGTGCCCAAAATGGCCACCACAACCATTTTCACGCCCTGCCCTTGCTTACCGAGGGTGCGAAAATGGTGTCGCTATGGAGGAACTTTGCTGAATGGTGAGTTTGGGCCCCATAGGAACGCTTTTTCCGTTCCGTTTAGCGATGTTTCCTCATAGCGATGATTAATCCGGAACAGATTAACATCGCTATGCGGGGCACCACTGTACATGTTTTTGGTTTTATTGTTTTTAAATTTGTAAACTGCCCAGAGTAGACCTTTGGTCTAGATAGGCAAGATAGAAATTCAATAAATAAATAAATACATTTGCATAAGATTGGTCCTGATATTCGTCTGGGGGAAGAGTGACAAAACCCATCCGTCCTGCTGGGGGAAGGAGCGACCCCTGCTGGATCTGTTTGCTTCTCCAGTCTAGATTGGAAAGTGAGATAACCCGTCCTGGTGAAGGAAACCTGGCCAGCCTTATTCCTTTGCAGATACTCTTTAAGGGAACAAAAAAACATGTACAGTGGTGCCTCGCAAGACGAATTTAATTCATTCCGTGGTTAATGTTGTCTTGCGAAAAATTCCTCTTGTGAAACACGTTTTCCCATAGGAATGCATTGAAATCTAATTAATGTGTTCCTATGGGCAAAAAAAGTCAGAACAAAGTCAAATTTGGTTTACAAAGGGTTTATTAAGTGCTCTTTAAAGCCATACATATTGTGCAGGTGATTTCGAAAATTTCAATCAAAAAACTTTAACTTTTTAAACATCATAGAAAAACATTTAAAAATCAGCAAACATGAGGCAGGAACAAAAAATGGAAAACATTCGTCTTGCAAAGCACAGCCATAGAAACGTTCACCTTGTGAGTCATCAATCCCATTGCCAAAACCATTCGTCTCGCGAGTTTTTTTGTCCTGCGAGGCATTTGCCTTGCAAGGCACCACTGTACATATATGTGTATAGCTGGCTGTTTTATATCTTTCCAAACTGTATTCTGTGTGATCTGATCAAAGGTGTGTTCTTCTTGTGTGTGCTTTTGTGTACACGGTCCTTTAAAGAACCCGGACAAGATGGAGGTCTTGAGGGTGGGTTGTCCTTCTATCAGCGGTTTGGGTGACTCCCTTTCTTTTGGGGGGGGATCAACCCTCACCGCAAAGAGCAAGGTTCGCAGCTTGGGGATATATCTGGACCCGGCGCTTACCATGGAAACCCAGGTAGCGTCCATGGTCTGTTCCGCCTATTTTCACCTATGGCAGATTGCCCAGCTGCGACCATATCTTGATGGGGGGGGGTCCTCACTACTCTTGTCCATGCGCTCAATCTCGAGATTAGACCACTGTAACGCACTCTATGTGGGGCTGCCTTTGGGATTGATGCAGAAACTTCAACTGGTGCAAAATCCGGCAGCCAGGCTCCTTAGTGGGGTGAGGAAATATCAGCATATCTCCCCCACCTTGGCTGCTTTGCACTGGTTGCCCATTCGTTTCCGCATTGATTTCAAAGTTTTAATGATGACGTACAAAGCCCTAAACGGTTTGGGACGTCAATATTTGGCAGATCGCCTTCTCCCACCCAGCTCTACCTGAATCACCCGTCATTGCCAACAGGGACGGCTGAGGGGCCTGACGCTGAGAGAGGCCCAGAAGGAAAGAACAAGAAAACGGGCCTTCTCGGCAGTGGCCCCTCGCTTGTGGAACACCCTCCCAACGGAGATCCGCCTGGCTCCCTCGCTGGGCATTTTTAAAAGCCATTTAAAAACTTAACTCTTTAGACAGGCCTTCCCTCCAGTCTTTGTTTCTCAATTATCTCATCTTGACAATCTATATATACATCGGTTAGTAGGTTCCTATTATTATGTATGTTATTGTATTGTATTTTATTTTATTGTATTTTATCACTCATGTAAGCCGCCCCGAGTAGACTTTGTTTAGAGGGACGGGGTATAAGTCCAAATAAAGTAAAGTAAAGTAAAGTAAAGTAAAGGGCTCTTACACTACAAGCCCATGACGAATCCACCTACTTGTCTAGACGATATTTTACCAGCTCAATTACAAAACATTGTGAAGACCCTTTTGTAATAATACTACGCTGAAATGTTCCCCTGTTCTAGAGATACTATCCATACCTTTGCTGTACTGAATCACAATCATGTCGTATATATACCTGGACAAATGCCCCAACGTGTTTTGGCATCACCAATTCATTTCCTCCTCTTTGAATCTTTATGGCTGGCTACACCGTAGTACCAGTTTATTTTCTCTCTTGTTTACTGGGGCACTGGGGCCCCTTACTTAAATTTTTTTTAAAATTAACAATATGTCAGGTAGAGATTCTTCTTTGGTGAAATTTCCTCTGTTGCTCTGGCACTTCTGAAAAACCTTCATTGCACTCAGTGGACCCAGCAGTCACATCCAGGGCTTTGGAGAGAAGGAAGTCCATCTCTGCTAAGATTGTCCTCTAAAGCTGTTGACATAAGTTTAGGTAAAGGTAAAGGGATCCCCTTGACATTGAGTCCAGTCGTGCCCGACTCTAGGGTGTGGTGCTCATCCCCGTCTCCAAGCCGTAGAGCCAGCGTTTGTCCATAGACCATTTCCGTGGTCACATGGCCAGCGCTACTAGACACGGAACGCCATGACCTTCCCACTGAGGTGGTCCCTATTTATCTACTCGCAATTTTACATGCTTTCGAACTGCTGGGTTGGCAGGTTTCCTACATGGGAAAAGTACATGGCACTAAATGTTAGTGCAGGAGGATGGGACTAGGTGAGGGTAAGCTGTGTGGCCGAGTGAAGAACCAAGAAAGGGACCGACACATGAGGATTTCCCTTTATCCATTGGTTATACGAAGTAAAAAAATCATAGCGCTTGTTGCTCAAAAGAGGATGAATCTTAGCATGCTGCAGGAGGTAAAGTCTTTCCTACTTCCCTAGAAGAGGATTAACAAAGTAAATTCCCTTCCCCTTCCGTTGCTCCAGGTACTGGGATACTAAACATGGTCAGCCGAAAAAGGAAAATGGCAACTGTGTTTTCGTCCACTTTGACTGCATTTCTAAAAGATGTTGGCATTATGGTAAATGTACTGATAAAAGACGATTTGTATGCAAGAAGGAGCCCATTGCAAAATGGTATTACGCTTAAAGTTAGAGGCCCGAAGAAGAACAGAAGAACACGGCCGCACACCTGGATACCTGCATGGAAAATCTGACTCTGTAGAACTCAACCCACTAACTCATTCATTAATGAAAGGCTTGAACCGAGTGGAGTGTGCTAGCTTTGTCCTTCTGACTTGACCGTTTCTCCATCGCCAAGGGCAAGAAGAACCGCAGGGACCTCAAGAGGTCCTTGAGCATTGATCAAGGTGTCCCAGAGGCAGGCACAAGGGTCTCCAGCATCAGTTCGGGAGTGTTAGCGCCATGTTGTGAGCTGAGGGGTGGCTCTTCCCATGCCATTGTGAAGAAAGACTAGAGGTTAATGCCTGAGATCACTTACAGAGCATGTCTCTGCCGTGGGACGCTGCTCATCCCCACAGGTGGAAGAGGAGTAGGAAGATTTCTCAGGCAAAGGGTGCAGTTGGTAGACCAGTGACTTCCAATCTTGGGTCCTGAGATGTTCTTGGACTAAAACTCCCAGAAGCCTTCATCACTGGCTGTGGTGGCCAGGATTTCTGGGAGCTGCAGCCTAAGAACATCTGGGCATCTAAGGTGGGGAACCACTGCTGTAGAGAAACTTGGCTCCTCCTGGCACCTCTTTTTTTTTCCCCTTTTTTGTTTTGGAGAAATGATTGGACTTCTCTCTCCCTCCCTCCATCTCTAGAGGTGTCAGAAGATGGAGGTGCCATGGCAGGTTCCCGGGGCCATCTGGCAGTCATTGGGCAAGCCTTTGAGCCCGCTGTCCTTGAAGCAATGCCTTTCTTTGTACCCCTGTTTTGACTGCACACAGGGCCATCAAAGTAGACTCTGCAGTTGGCCCATTCTTGGCCACAAAACTGAATGGTTGAGGGTCAGAGCACGTGCTTCTGCTCAGCTTCGTATTCGGCCATCTAGAGGGTTTTATTTTGTGAAAGATGAAAAATGGGCTACAAGGAGGTGATGCGCCTTTTCCATAAATTATGTTTCAACCCAAAATAATAACCATGTGCTATCAAGTTGATTCTGACTTATGGCGACCCTTTCCAGGGTTTTCCAGGTAGTAAGCACTCAGAAGGAGTTTCCCCTTCTCTTCGTCTGGGAGGGATCCCTGGGACTACTGCGCAGCTTGCCCAAGGCCACCCAGGCTGGCTCTTCACCCTGGAACCACACAGCCAGGAATCAAACTCCCAACCTTTGGCTCTGCAGCGAGATGCTTAAACCACTGGGCTATCCAGCCAGCCTTTGACCCAGAAGTCCTCTCTGGAACTCAAGGGGATCGTAGAATTATAGAATAAAGGGCCTCGAAGGTCTTTGGGTCTAACCCTCTGCTGAAGATAGGCAGGAATCCAAAGCAAAGCAGATCAGATCAGAAAGAAGGCAAGCTAAAGCCAGAGGCCTGGTGCCGATCAAAGTCCTGGGATGGAGGTCTCAGGGAGGAGACTTGCTGGATCTTTATTCCCTGAAAGTTGACATCAAGCAGGGGCCTTTTAATACCGAATGGTTTTGATTTGAAGCTAGGCCGAGTATTTTCAAAGAATATTGGTTTGTTCCACACAACGCTCTTTTCCCACTGGTGCCTGGCCTGTTTGGGGGGGCAGGGGGAGCTCCTTCCTGGGAGAAACTTTTTGCACCGAGACTGCAGGGTCGCACAGCTGCATAAAGGATGTTTACAGCATAGGATGGACAGGATGCTCCCCCAAGGACCCCCAGAGTTTCCCTTACCTTCCCGAGAGCTTCTGCATCAGGGGGAGGGAACAGAGCATTTAAAAAAGGAGACCCAAAGGGCCAGGACAGAGCGTCTCAGTCACACGGACACCCCCTCCTCCCCAGAAGGCTGACTAGTGGCTGGGATCCAGGAAAAAAGACATGCGTGCCCATGTCTGCCCTGGGACATTTTGCTGGACAAGGCAGCTACAAATCTATTTATTTATTACTCATTTAGTTTCTACACTAAACAGGGGGTTGGACTTGATGGCTGTAGAGGCCCATTCCAACTCAATGATTCTGTGATCGTGAAGGCAGTTTGTTGTGTTATCTCACAAAGACTGGAGTTTTGCTAATGTGCAGATACTGATTCAAAGTGGGATCAGATGGATGGATGGATGGATGGATGGATGGATGGATGGATGGATGGATGGATGGATGGATGGATGGATGGATGGATGGATGGATGGATGGATGGCAACTTCCCCCCTACATTGGGGGGAGAAGGATACGCAGAGGGAGACTCTTGTTCATGTTTTTCTTTTCCTTCAAAGGGGGGGGGGGAACAGCCTAAACAGGGTCGCTTGAGGCGTGGTGTGGTTTCCTACCCTGAAACCACCCAATCTTTGCCTGCGTATTCAAGGATGGTCCCAAATGGCACATCACACCTCAAAGCTCAGCCCAATCCAGCCTGGGGCCATTGATTGTATTGTCACACCCTCCGTCTGATTCATCTTCTGCTGAGTTTGCAGCCGGTCCACTTTTTTTTTTTTTTTTTTTTTTTTTTTTTTTTTTTGCACCATTTCCGCACACCTTCCAACTTTTGGCTGATTGAAGGGGCACGAGATGTGCACCTTTTTCGGCTAGAGCCGTTTATCACTCAAAAGGTTTGTCTAGTTCAGCATCCAGACTGTCTGTGGGACAGAGTTTAGCAAAGAGGGAGAGAGAGAAAGAGGCCAGCAGGAAACTGCAGAAGTCAGTATTTCTCCTCCTGCTCCACTGGGGTTCACTAGAAAGAGTCGTTGGTCTTGATTTCTGGCTGGAAGCTCTGGCAGATTTGAAGAGAGCGGCCACATCAACCTCCCGGCTTAATCCTTTAGGTCCAAGTTTAGTTTTTTGGGATGGCCCCTTTTCTTTGCTGACCTGGTCCCTCCGGAGTATTTCCGGGGAGGATGGTTTTCACCACTCTGGGACCAGGAAGAAAGGGTTCGGAGTCTCGGAGAACCAGGGCTCTCTGCAGCTTCTGCCGGTCAGCTTCACTCAATTCAGGACGTTCGTAGTGGATCCGGATCCAGGGAGCCCCTTCGAGAGGAGAAGAAGCCATTGACGGATGTCAACACCCAATGACCTACCTGGGGGGGTGGGTTCTTTTCCTCACAGTTTCTATAGCACTCAGCTCATTCAAGGGTGAAAACAACCACAGCATTGTTAAGAGAAGGATTCAAACATGGAAAGATCGCTTCTATCCTACATCTTGTCACTTAGACATTTAAAAGACATGTTGGTTGCATGCGTTCGATTAACCAGGCATCTCCCCTGTGCTAGCTGTGTGTGTGTTTACTTCTTAGCTACACAGCAGTAGACCGAGCTATCTTTATCACTTAGAACAGCCACAAGAACGATGGGCATTTACCCTTGCCAGATGCAATAGTACCATCGAGCATAGTGCAGGGCAGGTACAAGGGTTTACCAATAGAACTGAGACTCTGCCCGTGTGGTCAGGGAGTGGTTGAATCCCTGCAGCACATGCTATTTTATTGTACTCTGTACAAGGATATTCACCTGTCCCATCTGTGCGCTTTTCTCTCCTCCCATTCCGGATGGGATGACATGAGGAAAATGCAGCATCTTCTAAGTGGCAATATTAAGGAACTTACCCTGTCAACTGCCAGATACGTATATGCCATCATGCAGAGACGTCGTAGCACGGTCTCGCAGAATGAAGAGCCCTAAATATGCTCTTGGCTGGCCCTTCCTACCCTTTACCCAGTGAACATTTTAGTTGTATGTTATTGTATTTGTCTGTTTTACTGTACTCAGTATGCCAATAAAGGTTTCTGACTGACTGACTGACTGGCTTAGCTACACAAAGGGGGGGGGGAATCCATAAGATTTCTACAGGGACATTTTGTGCACAATACATATATCTCTACAACACAAATCCCTCTTGTTGTCTTGTTCTCACACTGGAGGTGAGAAATTATTTGGTGGTTACACCACGATGGATAGGCCCTCTCGTTATGTACCAAAACCACTTGTGTCATCAAGAAAGAGAAATTCAGCAGGATATTGAACCCGAGGTCTTCTGCACACAAACCAGGCATGTGGCCAAGGAACTAGGTCTTCCCCTCCCCCTCCTCTAAAAGCTTGCCATCTGGTTGACACTAGAATTGGCCTTCTGGAGCTCATGACGGCCATCCCCACGAACCCTCACCATCAGCCATGGCAACTGAGGTCGAGGAGAGCTGCCGTCCGGCACAGGTGGAGGACACCAGGCCCAGGGAAAGCTGCGGCACCGAAAGCTTGCTGGCTGCTTTCTGTTCGCAGACGGTGCCAGGAAAGCCATAGGCGGACAGATTGGGTTGGAAAACGGCTCTCGGGCATGGATAGCCCAACGGACATCCGTGCCAGACAAGGGAGCAGCTTGAGCTACTGAGTTTCTCACCTAGACAGTCCCCGCTTAGCACTCTCACCAGTTTTGTGAACAATATTGGCCAGAATTACTCCATGGATGAAGGCTGAGAAATTGCCCCCCCAAAAGTCACGTTCCAGTCTTGGGAAGGATTGAAACTCTGATGCTAATGGGGTCCAGTTGGACGGAGGCGCCCGGCAGACCCCGACTTTGGGAGATGGCAAATGTTGGGACAGGCGTGGCTGACCCACGGGGTCTCAGGGCTGGCCTGTGCGGTTCACACTTGGCAGCCATGGTGTGCTTGGCATGGAAAAGTGAGCATAAGGTGCTCCAGGCGCCCCAGTCCACAGCAACCCCTGGAGATGTTACCTTTTCTCACCGGCTGCCCCACAGAGACCAGCAACTCGGCCCCGACGCGGTGGTTGATCGGTTGCCCCCCGTGCGTGCGGCCAGCCCCCAGGCCGTGGAGCACCTGAGCGATGGGGAGGGCCAAGATCTGTTGAACGGTTCCTAGGGAGACAGAGCACAAGCGCAGAGGAAGCTGGGCAGCCAGGGAAGGCCACGGCCATGGCTGTGGGAGGCCCTGAGGCAAAGCAGGTGTCTTGAGCTGGCCCCCAAGCAACTTTTCTCTCTCTCGGCAGAAGGCAACGTTCTCTGCCTTGAGAACATTTCCCCCTACCTGGCAGGAAAGGGGTAAAAAAAAGTCTCCCAGCCCGCATCATGGAGCCACAGCTTGCGGGGCTGGAGACATGCTATTTGGGGCAAAACAATGATTGAGAAAGTTATCTTTTCTAACTGCAAATCCCGGGATCCTCCAGCCAGCATGGCCGGTGGGAGTTCCTTTACAAATAAATAAATAAAGCGGTAACCTCTGGGTGCAACTTATGGCTCAAGTCCTTTCGCTCTGCCTTAGCCATCTTTCTGAAAGTGGTGATGCCACCAACCTTTTCCTGTCTTTTTAGCATGCACCTGATAGCCAGTGTGGTGTGTAATGAACAAAACGGCAAACTCAGGGACCCTGGGTTCAAATCCCCGCTCCGCGATGGAAACTTACTAGGAGTGTGGATCTGGTAGAACAACTCCTTCAATATCTCACGGACTTTGGATGCCCTGCTACGGTTCTGATGGCACAGGACAGCGGGCCATGAGGCAGCAGCGACCGGAGGGTTCCCTCAGCCATTATAAAAAAGCCACCCGAGTCTCCAACGTTCCCACTTCTCCACTATCGTTCAGGCTGAGGAACCTCCGCCTGCTCAGAGACCTGGGGGGAGCAGCTTCCTTACCGTCCCGTAGAGTCACCAAGTCTTCCTGGACTTGGGCCGGCTTCAGCACCTGAAGGCGCAGCTCCTCCGTCCCTGCACACAGGGCGCGCGCCGTGTCAGCCTCCACCCCTTGTGCGCACAGCATGGCCTGGAAGGTGCGCAAGGCAGAGCCGTCCTCCAGGGCCCTGGCAATGCGAAGGGCGCCTTCCGAAACCGAGCGGGCCCTCCCGCACTGCCAGAGCAAGGCGCCTCCTGCAAGGGCGGAAGGAGAAGGAGTGGGTGGAGAGCAGAGACCAAGGGAAGATAATAGGATAGCACTTTCTAAATTCTTGAAAGACTGTCCTACAGAGGGGGGGACAGGATCTGTTCTTGATCATCCCAGAGTGCCGGACGTGCAACAAGGGGCTCAAGGGACAGGAGGCCAGATTTAGGCTGAACATCAGGAAAAACTTCTCAACTGTTAGAGCAGTACGACAGCGGAACCCATTGTATTCCCTGCCCTGAGCAGAGGGTTGGACTCGATGACCTTCAACAAGAAGCTAGATTTAGGCTGAATAGCAGGAAAAACTTCTTAACTGTTAGAGCAGTATGACCACGGAACACATGACCTCAAGAGGTGGTGAGTGCTCCAAGGCTGGAGGCCTTCAAGAGAAACCTAAGATGACCCTCTGTCAGATCTGCTTTGATTTAGATTCCTGCCATGAGCAGGGGGTTGGACTTGATGGCCTTAGGGGTCCCTTCTGATGCCATGATTCTATGGTTCTATTAAAGTATAAGAAAAGGAACAACACAGCAGCAGCTTGATGTCAGACTCCGTGCTGACATCAGGGCAACAGCACTTTCCATTAAGAACCCTGCTTTTCATGGGAGCCTGCTAGATGCCTTTGGAAAAGGCACATGAACACAAGAATGACGCCATGATTCTATGGTTCTATTAAACTATAAGAAAACGAACAACACAGCAGCAGCTTGTCCAGATTAAGCACCTAAGGAGACTCCGTGCTGACATCATAAAGTGCAACAGCACTTTCCATTAAGGACCCTGCTTTTCATGGGAGCCTGCTAGACGCCTTTGGAAAAGGCACATGAACACAAGAATCAGCCTCTTACCCAAAGCCCGGGAATGTTCCCTCCCCTTTAAAAAAAAACTACAACTCCCAGTATCTCCAAGCCATCAGCGGCAGATCCTTCCATTGTTCTCCCAACAACCCCAGCACATGCAACCTCGAATTGGTTGCCCTTCTGCAGATTTTACAAAGAGAGTGTGGGCTGCTCTTTCATCTGGAAGAAAGACTGATCTTGTTAACACTCTTGAAAGGGAACACACAGAGATGCAGACACTCATCACAAGAAGAAGCCGTTGCCTGAAGTGTGGGGACACCTGTATCCCACTCTTCCTTCCTTCCTTCCTTCCTCCCTTCCTTCCTTCCTTCCTTCCTCCCTTCCTTCCTTCCTTCCTTCCTCCCTTCCTTCCTTCCTTCCTTCCTCCCTTCCTTCCTTCCTTCCTTCCTCCCTTCCTTCCTTCCTTCCTTCCTCCCTTCCTTCCTTCCTTCCTTCCTCCCTTCCTTCCTTCCTTCCTTCCTCCCTTCCTTCCTTCCTTCCTTCCTCCCTTCCTTCCTTCCTTCCTTCCTCCCTTCCTTCCTTCCTTCCTTCCTCCCTTCCTTCCTTCCTTCCTTCCTCCCTTCCTTCCTTCCTTCCTTCCTCCCTTCCTTCCTTCCTTCCTTCCTTCCATCCATCCATCCATCCATCCAGCCATCCAGCCATCCAGCCATTGTCTACCACATCCATCCATCCATCCATCCATCCATCCATCCAGTTATTACGCTGTCCATCTAGCAACCTGCTACTCTTCAAGTTGTACACAAAGTAAAGCAAAAATCATGAGCACACATTCTAAACCATCGATCCATCGATCCTTCGATCCATCGATCGATCCATCCATCCATCCATCCATCCATCCATTGACCAATCCATCTATCCATCCATCCATCCATTGACTAACGCATCCATCCAGCCAGCCAGCCATCTACTGTGCTCCTGTGTACAGACCGAGGCTGGTCACCAGCTCATGGAGATCGCAGGGACCTCGTCCTTCCAGACACTCCAAAGATTCAAGGACTTCCAAGGAATTGCCCACCCGACGCCCCAGGGGGGCATCCATCTCGCTCAAGACTGCCATGGTGCTTATTCCTAGCTGAGTCCCAACCAACACCTGGAAAGAGAGAGAGAGAGAGAGAGAGCAACTTCAGTTAGAACTTCTGGCTTTGGTGCAGGGATACGGCTGCTTTTTGAAATACCCCACCATGGGGAGACCGAGGGACGAGAGCATGGGGCTCATGTTCTATCAGCTGGAAATAAGGGAGGCAGAGGGGATCAGAGGAGCAGGTTTTGCGTATGCACTTACATAAACACACATGTGTATGTGGCTTGAATGTTCTGAATCTTGGGTGGAAAGTACCCCAGCCTGTCACCGTAGCATAATGCACAATTCCTTAATTATGAAAAGAGCTATGTTCCATCGGGTCAATTCCAACTGACGGCATCCTCTTCTAGGGTTTTCATGGTACTTAGAGAAGTGGTTTCACAGTCCCTCCTTCTGGGGTCAACCTGGGACTGTGCAGGTTGCCCACGGCCACCATGCTAGCTTTCCGACTAGGAGGCACAGTATGGAAATGAACTCCCAGCCTCTGGCCCTGGAGTTGGTTGATTCGAATCACTGAACTAACCGGCTAGCAGTACCGTACATTAATCGGAGCCATTTAAAAGGTCTGAAGTAGTGAGCAAGCAAGCTGGATGGTGAGCCTGGGAACCGGAGAGCATCAGGCTTGGATAAAAGTTACACCTAGCAGAGATTTTTTCCCCCTCCAAAAGGCTGTTAGAGGCCTTGATCACACCACGTTATTTAAATCACATTGAGTTTTTTAAATGAATTGACTTGTACCCAGATGGAGCACTCGTTCCCCCTCCCTCAAGGTCTCTGTGCCACTTGGTGCCAAAGCATCGTGGCACTGATTGGGAGGTGCATCCTAGCTTCCCTTTAAAAATCCATTTTCCTTCTTTCGAAGAAAACGGCTTCTCTTTAGCACATTTTAACTCGTTCCCAGTTGGCCATGAACGGGAAGCGGGAAGGGCGAAAAACCCCTCCGGGATACTATCCAAAACTGAAAATAAACCAAGCTTTCCAGACGGATGAGAAAAAGTAGAAACCTATGGGGGGGGGAGGCACAGGTACACCTAATGGAGGATGGGGAAGCTACCCGTAGCAACAGCACAGAACCTGGTACTTGAGGGAGAGCCAAGGTACAACCTGGGAACCTCAAAGGTTGTGGCAAGCGAGCTATGAGGTGAGCCAGGTTAGACCAACCTTCCTCCATCCTGTGTGGGGACGATGGGAGTTCTTGGAAGGCACCAGGTTGAGGGAAGGCTGGACTATATCCACAAAGAAGCCACAGCCAGACCTCCGCCGGCCCTGAAGGTTTGTAGGACAAACAAACCAGCCCACTTTCCCGGACCCAGGAGGCGACAGACGGTGCAACCTGTGGCTACTTGCGATTGTTCCGCTGCTCCCCCTGAAAATGTTATCTCACCTCCAGGTCATCTGTGGATCAGAGAGCAGCCCAGCCCAAGGCTTGCCTTGACACCACTGAATCCTGGGCTCCGCTCAGCAAGCGAGCACCTTTCCCGGGCCGGCCCAACCAGGAGGGAGAGGGAACAAATGGCCTTCGAATGATAGTAGAGCAAGCCACAGCATCGTATTCACGAAGGCTTTCACGGCCGGGATCTAATGGTTGTTGTGGGTTTTTCGGGCTCTTTGGCCGTGTTCTGAAGGTTGTTCTTCCTAATGTTTCGCCCGTCTCTGTGGCCATGGGCATCTTCAGAGGACAGAAGTCAGAACTCTTGTCAGTGTTCTTGTGTAGTGTGTGGGATAGCTGAGTATTTGCAGCTGTGGGATCAGGTTTTGGTCCTTTTCAGGAGATTGGGTGATTATGGTGATCTCATAAACAACTGAAGACAGACAGAGTTCTGACTCCTGTCCTCTGAAGAGGCCAGCCACAGAGACGGGAGAAATGTTAGGAAGAGCAACCTTCAGAACATGGCCAAAGAGCCCGAAAAACCCACAACCACAGCATCATCTTTGCTCTCCTTTGCTGAAGGACAGAGTGGGTGTTTTCTCAATGGTCTCCAAACTCCCAAAGGAAAGGATGCTGTTTCCACTGTTCCTGTCAATGTAGATTTTAGCTGCCAGCCCGGCTGGCTTCTGTAGAGTAGAATGGAGAGGGGTCACCTTGTCTTTTGCCTCAGGTAGCTAAATGTCTGGGGACGGCCCTGGGTTCCCATACCAGACCAAAGAGAGGCGGTTGCCCCTTGCCACCCGGCTCACCAGGTTCTCTGCCAGCTGCTGGGCGCTCTCCAGGGTTGGGTAGAGGGCCGCACTGCCAAACTTCACGTCCAGCACCAGGGCAGAGAGGTTCTCTGCAGCTTTCTTACTCAAGATGGAGCCTGTGAGATAAGAGGGAGCAGGGGAACAAAGGAGAGCCATCCGTCAAAGGCATGGAAAACTGTCACGAGAGGGATGGGGCCGGTTCGTTTTCTGCCGCTCTGGAGGTTGGGACCTGAGCTGGCGGATTCTGTCCCTGGACACTTTCGCTAAGATTTCTCGCCTCGCCCAAATCAGATTGGATTAGAGGACTTTTCTGGTCCTTCCAACGTTTGATACGGAGCACAGAAAACCACCGAGAATGAGAAAAATGTTGAGAGCTCATTGTAGCCAATGGTGAGAAGCCCAAAAGCACCCAAGAATGAGGATTGTTTACATCTTTTGTCTAGACCAGGGATGGAGAGTTCAAGGCAGACTTAATTCACACTGGTGACTCAACTCAGGATTCAGAATCTGGACCCAAAGACTCAGCCTCGGGTTTGGGATTCGGGCCCAAACGTTGCTAGCATCCTTGGTCTAGAAGACCTTGCGAGCATCGTCACAGGAGGTTGGTGTCTTCCAAGATAGTTGGGTAATTGCAAAATAAAGCCTTCCTTGGAAGCATGCTCAGAGAATACAACAAGATTAACCCACTGGGGTCTTCTCAGAAGGACCCAACAGGCTCTCAGGACCACCTTTCAGGTGGCAGGATGGGCCCCTGTACCTGTGATGAGGGGCAAGCTGTCCACGGTGGCTGTGACGTCTCTCAGGGCGTAGAGGACCCTGTCAGCTGGGACGAGCTCCTCGCTCTGCTCCACAATGCAGCAGCCCACTGCCTGCAAGATTGCCTTCATCTGCAGCAAAACAGAGTCCGGGCCATCGGCATGGATCAGTTCCCATCCCAAGAAGCCTCCCCTCATCTCCCAGACCAATTATGAGTCCTAGGGCGAAGTCTGCAATTACGCGGGAAGAGAAGATCCTCTGTTTCCCGTGTGCTGCGATGTGAAGTGCCAAACTAGACATTACAGATAGACCATCCTTAGAAGCTGAACATCTGTGAGCCTTCCAGAGATTTGATTGCAGTGGGTCTTCACCACAGAGCAACTGTATTTACAAACAAAGCTGGCGGCCACTTTCTAATAACCGATCCTCAAAATAAAGGAAGTTAGCTCCTGCTGTGACAATCAGATTTTTTTTTTTTTTGCCACTTAAGGAATTTCCCCTTCTAAGAACGCAATCCATGTAATGTGTAATTTGTCCCTGAGCAGGGTTGCACACTATATGAGCTTGGCCACTTACTCTTTCTAGACTAACTACCTCGCAGAGTTGTTGTGAAGCTGAAATGCAAGAGGTAGCGTTCTGCATACTACTGCCTTCAGCTAGCTAGAAGAAGGGTGCAATATATACGTAATACATTTCCCCATCAATCAAGACAAGGTAGGCTAGAATCCTACAGGTGTTCATGTAAGGCGTGCACACCTGGCCATGTCTCACTTATGCAATTGAGCACATTTGCATGGCGTAACCAAGTTGCAAACGGACACTCCTCCAGATTGTTTCAGGTTACACAGCACTCCTGTGAGCACCACTAGGATTCTGGCCCCAGTGAATTATGTACCCCCAGTAAGGCCCCTGAGTCTGTTTGTTTCCAACCCATCTTGGGGTACCTGACCTGTTCTGGGCTCTGGGAGACCTTGAAGCCAGGCACGGATTCCAGCTTGTCCAGCGTGCCGCCAGTGTGGCCCAGACCTCGTCCGCTGATCATGGGCACCTGCTCAAAGGAAGATACGATAGCACTCTTCAAACACGCGAGAGGCTGTCTGTCCTACAGAGGAGGGGCAGGATCTGTTCTCCATCATCCCAGAGTGCAAGACACACAACCATGCGCTCAAATTACAGGAAGTCAGATTTAAGTTGAAGATCAGGAGAAACGTCCAAACTGTTAGAACAGCCCCATGATTTTATGATGAATCAGTGATTCTTTGATTCGCCTCCAGCTGTGTCATGCCCAGCCAGGGGAGAGGGTGTCTGGAGTCAAAAGGTAGCTTCTGTTGATGTTGTTTCCCTGGTTGAATAAACGTATTGCCTGCACTTGGCTGGAGACGGAGCACAAAGCCCACACAGCTATATATATATAAAAAATTGTTAAGCCAATTTCTGTTTGGTGTGGAAAGAATTTGAATGTGGAAAGTCGACTCTTTTGCCCCAATTCAGGGCTTTATGTCTTTCAACTGTGGCTGAGCCACCATGTAGGCAACCATATGAAATGCTGAATGAGCAATGAAGTGCTTAGTTTTCAGAGAGGATCTCGCCTTAGGTCGCATCTGAATTCTGGAGAACAGAACGTGATCCTCTCCACAGGGGGATCAGCTGTTACCTGTTGAACGTGACCAGTTTAAATGGAAGAGAATTTTGTAATTTACGAAGAGAATTTCGTCATTTACGAATTTACAAAGAGAATTTCGCTTTACGAATTTTTCCAAAATCCACATATATTTTTTCATATTCAAGACGTAAAGAAGGTGAGGTTCAAACAAAATCTGAAGAAACCAAACCGGGCAGATTCCCCCCATTCCTGCTGTTCTGTGACCTGAACTCCTGTCCTAGTTTGCAGGAGTTACTTGTTCGGACTACAACATCCATCATCCGCAGGTGGCACAACCCCTGGCAGCCTCTGATTCAGGCACTGAGGGGGGAAAGGCTCATGTTTGTGAGCCGTCTCCCTCAGTGTCTGAACCAGAGACTGCCAGGGACTGTGTCACCTGGGGAGGATGGACGTTGGAGTCAGACACGCCCCGCACACAGCTGGAAAGGAGGCTTCGGCCATTTACTCACCTTGCAGCCACAGGCAGCTAAGGCTGGGGCCAGAGGGAGACTGACTTTGTCACCCACTCCCCCCGTGGAGTGTTTGTCCACCAGAAGGCCGTGCCACGTTTCCGGCCACTCCAGGACCTTCCCCGAGGTCGCCATTTCTCGAGTCAGCACCAGGGTTTCCTCAGGCTCCATGCCGCGCAGGCGGATGGCCATCAGCATCGCTCCTAAGAAGGCGGGAGGTTCAGTGAAAGTGAAGCCCTTTCCTCAAACCCTCTCAGGAAAGACTGAAAGAACGGGGCTGGTTTAGCCTGGAGAAAAGAAGACTGAGGGGAGATCATACTTTTCAAATCCTTGAAAGGCTGTCCTCCAGAGGAAGGGCAGGATCTGTTCTCCATCATCCCAGAGTGCAGGACACGTAAGAATGGGCTCAAGCAACAGGAAGCCAGATTTAAGCCAGGTTTCAGTTGAATATCAGGAAAAACTTCCTAACCGTTAGAGCAGTACGACAATGCAACCCATGACCTCAAAGGGAGGTGGTGGGGGCTCCGATGCTGGAGAGGCCTTCGAGAGAAAATGGTGGGACCACCCTCGGCCAGGTGGGCTTTGATTTGGGATTCCTGCCTTGATGGCCCTTCCAACCCCATCATTCTGTGCTTCTATGACTGACGCTGGAGAGGCCTTCAAGAGAAAATGATGGGACCACCCTCGGTCAGGTGGGCTTTGATTCAGATTCCTGCCTTGATGGCCCTCCCAACCCCATCATTCTGTGCTTCTATGACTTAACCTTTCCATTGGGTGAGGAAAAATCCCCATTTGGGCTGGCCAGCCGCAGCAATGTGCCTGTCGTCAATTTCTTCAACCTGCTGTAAAGTTTCTCGTATGGTTTTGGAGGGAGAAAAAAAAATGCTAAGCTTGTCAAAATGGGGCTCTTGTACCCATGTGTACAGGAGGGCCGCTGAAGTGTTCAAGGCTATGAAGAAAAGACCAGCCATGTTCCTAAATAGCTGCGCATCTTTTTTCAAGGTTGGAACGCAATGCCCAGCAGAACGACAGAACCCGTGGCCCCTCCACATTTAGAACGACTAGCCCAAAAACACACACAAAAAAAACACAGTTTGAGGCAATTAGTCTTCTGAGCAATTGTTTGTGTGTGAGAGAGATCAAAACTTGTTAGAGCAACTGAGCTAACGTAGACAGGGTTTAGGGGGCCGCTGAATAGCATTTAGCCGGCTGGGTGGTTGAGGTCTCTGGCTGTGGGGCCAGAGATGGATTCCTCACTCTGCATCCCAGGAGAGCCTTTGGGCCAACACTGCACGGTGAGAGCATCCCCAGAAAAAGAAGGGAAGGGGGAAACCCCTTCTGAGTATTCTGTACCTCGAAAACCCTGGAAACGGTCGCCATTCGTCAGAATTGACCACAATTAATATTATTATTACGTAGCAGCTAATCAGGAACAGCGGTTCTGCTGCTGGGTGAAGAAGCCCCCATTTGCTCCCATCACGGTCCTTTTTGTAAAGAAGTAAAGGTTACAAAGAGACACAGCCCACCTGTTCTCATTCAAAGGCAGCAACGCCCAGTGGTGAGCCGCTAATGGCATAGACCGGGCACACGCCGGCCGCAGTGCCTTCCATTCCCATCTTTTGAAAATCCAGAGAGAAAAGGCCATTCCTTGACCGCGGCTGAGCCAGGTCACTCCCTCTCCCCTGTTCTTCCAACTTTGCCTCCTCCCAGCCCCGCCACCAACCCCACAGCTGCCCCCATTTGTCATCCTCACCTATCTGGCCCTCCTGCAGGCGCTTCTCGGCCACCGCCTTCACAAAGTACCGGATCTCATCCTCTTGCAGCTGCTCGCCATCCCGCTTCTTCCGGATGATTTCTGGGATGCTCAGCCTGCTCCTTCGATCAGGTGCTGTGGGGCTGGTGAACCCGGGGGCTGCCAAGTCAAGGTCGACCCCACATGTGAGCACGGACTTCCTCCCCACCACAGTAAGGGCTCAAGGTGGCAGAAGCAACGGACGGTCTAGCGCTATTCCGCTTCTATCGAGATGTGTTTTCTAGGGCACTGGCCACCCGACCTTAGGTGACCCAGATGTTTGTGGACTGCAGTTCCCAGAAACCTTTACCACTTGCTCTGCTGGCCGGGCTTTCTGAGAGTTGCAGTCCAAGAACACCGGGGTTGCCAGAGGTTGGGAATTCTGCTGGTCGGGCGTTCTGAGAGTTGCAGTCCAAGAATACTGGGGTTGCCGGAGGTTGGGAACGATGCAAAGTGTCCACACACGTAACCATGAGCCTAGGAATTCTTCCTTTCTCTCACTCTCCCACAACCACCACCCAGTCAGGTGTGATCATTACCTGGATCGCTGGGGCCTTCAAAGGAGAACATCACCTAGAAAGAGAGAGTAACATTACCTGGATCGCTGGGGCCTTCGGAGGAGAACATCACCTAGAAAGAGAGAGTAACACGGTCAAGGGCTACGCCACCTTTCTCTCACACACGTGACCCTGCTTAGTCTGCGCCTCTGGCTTTCTCTTGCATTTTTTCATGAGCCATGCACTTAACAAAATCAATAGGTAATTCCTGGAAGTCCATTCCTGACTCTTGAAGGCCACCCACATTTCCCTAGTACGGTTTTTCTTTGAAAGTGGCCTCCTGCAAACAGGCCCCACAGAAGCCAGCCAGGGGGACCGGTGCCACCTCCATACCTGGAAAGGTTTGCTCGGCTCTCCTGACCCTATTGGGGTACAGGATGCTGGGAAAGCAAAAAGCTTCACTCTATCTTTCACACCTGGTCGGGGGGGGGGAACATGTCATTTCAATTAATGGTCATAGTAAGTAAAGGTCCCCCTTGACCTTGAGTCCAGTCATGTCCGACTCTAGGGCTGTGATGCTCATCCCCGTCGCCAAGCTGTAGAGCCAATGTTTGTCCAAAGATCATTTCTGTGGTCACGTGGCCAGTGCGACTAGACACAGAATGCCGTGATCTTCCCACCGAGGTGGTACCTATTTATCTACTCGCATTTTTACCTGCTTTCGAACAGCTAGGTTGGCAGCTCCCTCCGTCGCGTGGACTCGATCTTGCGATGGCTGGTCTTCCGACCTCGCAGCCCAGAGGCTTCTACGGTTTAACCCTCAGTGCCACCACGTCCCTACTGACCCTTTGGTCGTAGTAATAAACCTCAAAACAGCTGTGCTCCAAAGGCTGTGATCAGTGCGGCTGGAGAGGGACCAAATGCACTTCCTTTAACATCTACGTCCTACGGTGTGTATGTTATCTCAAGAGTGGAGTAATGCAAAACCTGGTTTCCTCTGTCACATAGAGACCTTCCGCTCAAAAGCATGAACACACGGCGCAGGTCGTGGTTCCAAACACTCGCTAAGGTTCCTCTTTTCTACGTCCCTCGGCGTCACAGTTTCCTTTCTTAAGCTGGAGATGCAAAATCTCTACTTTCACAAGCCAGGTCCAAGTCTAAGTCCCAGGTGCCTGTTATTAACGCACCTCTTGAATCATACGGTTAAGAAAAAAACACATTATTTTCTGACAACGTCAAGCCCCTCCAGACAGAGGGCTCCTCCAGCCCCAGGCTGGACGGTCCAGTGCGCGGCGGAGAGACGTTGGCAGGAGGTCAACACCACCTTAGCTCTGGTTTAGGGTCTGTGTCTGCACCAGCATCTTGCAACCAAAACGACAGGAGAAAGAAAATAAAAGTTTAAAGTTTAAAAAAAACTTCAAAAGGTAGTGGCGCCTTCAAGACTAGCTATTACTTTTATTTTTTTTTAATGTGAAGTTTTGTGGGCAAGTCCACTTCAACAGACCTGAAGTGGGCTGCGTCACGAAAACTCACCTTTTAAAAATGTAAAAGTTAGTCTTTTAAGGTGCCACCGCGTTTTTGCCTCTCTCTCCCCTTTTCTGATTTTTGTTTTGTTTTCACCTACAGCACTTGCTTGTACAGATGGACACGGTTGCTCCTTCGACAACGAGAGAAAGAGGTTTTCTAAGGCTGGGTGTTTGTCGTTTGCTAAACTCCTCAAAGCCCTGCTGGGATGCAGGTGGGTGGGTGGGTTTGGTGCAGGGAGACGGAAAGATTCTCCCAAGGCATTCCGTTCTTCTAATCAGACCACCTTTGGGAGCGGCTAAAAAGACCCTGATGTTGGAAGACAGGAGGGCCTGGCGTGCTCTGGTCCATGGGTTCACAAATATATGTTACATATTTACCGCATGTGTTGGCTTGGTATATTTTGTTGGGTGGCTGGGTATTTATTTATTGTTATGCTGTAGACTGCTTTGGATAGTGTTCTGTGGTATATAAATGCACAGAATGAATAAGTGTTGAGATTTTGATGTGAATATGTATTAAATATAAATGTTGTATAGTTGAAAGTAATAAGGCTGATTTTACCTGAGTCATTGTACTGATTGTATTCAGGTGTGGATATCGATGTTGGAGACTTAATGTTGTACAGCTGTGGTACATGATGAAACGTGTAACTGGAAAATGAAGTACAAGTGGTGCTCCGCATAGCGACGTTAATCGCTATCCGGATTTGTCGCTATGCGGGGGGGGGAACCCATAGGAACGCATTAAACTCCATTTAATGCGTTCCTATTGGGGAAAAACTCACCGCTATGCGGGGAATCCTCCATCCGGCCGCCATTTTCGCCACCCGGTAAGCGAGGGCAGGGCGCGAAATCGCTGCCGGTGGCCATTTTCTGCACCCGGTGGCCATTTTGGAACCACCGATCAGCTGTTCCCAAAACATCACAATGCGAAGATCGGTAAGCGAAACGCGTCGCTATGCGGATTTGTCGTTAAACAGTGCGCTCGTGAAGCAAGGCACCACTGTAATGTATTTTATGATTGGTACCAGAACTGTACATAAGTCATGTGTAAAGGGGACATTTTATCTGCTGTAAGTCAGATCACTTTTCCTATGCTATGTATTGTATTATGTCATGTTATGCTGCCAGGTGAATGTCTATTATTTCTGTATATATGTAAATAGACTAAGTTGAGCTTTTACTCTCTCAGTGTCATAGTGTCTATGCAAACTAATATCTCCTTACTCTGCTAATGTTCTGAGAATACACATTTAACCAAAATTCTCAACATTAATTACATACTGTACATAAATACATCACCTCTCAGCTTTCTTTTCTCCAAGCTAAACATACCAATTAAAAAGCAGAGACCTCACCTTGCCGACAAAGGTCCACATAGTCAAAGCTATGGTTTTTCCTGTAGCAATGTATGGAAGTGAGAGCTGGACCATAAATAAGGCTGACCACCAAAGAATGGATGCTTTTGAATTGTGGTGATGGAGGAGGCTCTTGAGAGTCCCCTGGACTGCAAGGAGAACAAACTTATCTATTCTGAAGGAAATCAACCCTGAGTGCTCACTGGAAGGACAGAACCTGAAGCTGAGGCTCCAATCCTTTGGCCATCTCACGAGAAGAGAAGACTCCCTGGAAAAGACCCTGATGTTGGGAAAGTGTGAGGGCAAGAGGAGAAGGGCACGATGGAGGACGAGGTGGTTGGACAGGGTCATCGATGCAGCCAACATGGATTTGACCCAACTCTGGGAGGCAGTGGAAGACAGGAGGGCCTGGCGTGCTCTGGTCCATGGGGTCACGAAGAGTCGGACACGACTAAACGACTAAACAACAACAAAACATACCAAACTGCATTAACTATTCCTCACAAGATACGGTTTCCATCCCTTTTACCCTTGTAGTGCCCGTCTCTGAACAGGTTTATTTTGTTTTTGTTTTTTATTTAAAATACTGTATATTTTTACTCTGCCTTTCTCCTTAAAAGGATCCAGGTTCCAGCTTGCCAGTAGCCTTCTCAAACTCTGGTGCCCAGAACCAGACACCATATCTCAGGTGAAGTTTAATCAATGCAAAATAGAGTGGTTGTGTTACTTTTCTTAACTTACACACTGCAGTTTGGTTGGTACAGCTAGGCATCACCTTGGCTCTTTTTGCTGCTGTGTCACGCTCTTGGCTCGTACGGAGCTTGGGGGTCTACCAAGACCCTCAGATCCTTTTCATAAGTGTTAATGCTGGGACAGCTGAAACCTAGCCTGTCGTTCCAAAGAAGCAGCTGTGTAACTCTCTCCTCAGCATGTTGGCAAAAGGAAAAAGGGGGCAGGATGCAAAATATAACAAAGCTTGTAAGACTTGACAGTTTTATTTCAGTGTTTGCTTTTGTGAAACAGACTCCACTTCTTTTGTTAAACCATCTTTGCTTCCTTTGCCCAATATAATTTCACCGGTTCTAACTAGTTCCTGCCCAAATAGACCGCAGGCAATCCAGATTGCTAGAAATCCTAGGCTATTAAGAAAGTGATGAAAAATAGTATGAATAAAAATAATATGAAAAATCACTGAGGTCCTACTTGGGAAGCTTTGAACATGGTGAAGAAAAATGGAGGGGGATGGGGGGGGAGCCCTTGCTAATACTTATATATTGCAGGATGGGTGTGTATGAGTCACACTTTAATTTTTCTTCTTCCATAACTCATCACTTACGCCACAGTATTGTTTGCTCCCTTGCTTGTATTTATTGGTTTGCTGAATTTATATGTGTTCATGGGCTTCCTTGTTTCCTGCTGCAGGACAGAAGGAGGCTCTTGCCTCTCGGTGAAATGGCTTTGCTAAAGATAGAAGAAGCAGGGTCTTGCCTCTCGGTGAAATGGCTTTGCTAAACAAACAGGGAAGCGGGCGGAGGTCAAGACAGGAAAGAAAGTCATCTCCAGGCGAAGGTAACATACAAGGAAGGGGCGTCTCCCCACCTCAAAGGTTGCCACAGCCCTTGGCGAGGCTCACCCCGAATAGTCTGCCTCACCCACCCCCAGAGGCCTTGCCACTGCTCTCTGGGAATGATCTGCCTTACAGATCCCAACCGGCTTGACATCCTTGCCAGCAACCGAGACCTGGTGATCCGGCTTGCAAGTCTTCTGGCGTAGGCCGCCGGACGGCAACCCACCTGCACCGTCATCCTCCACCACAGGGAATGAAAAAGGTTGTGAAGTCGTGAAAAAAGGAAGGAGGGCAGCTGTAGGACAAGCAACGGTCCATAGGCTACCCAACTGTAGACGATAAGGAAGGGTCTCCGGTCAACGTCTAAGAGTCACCTTGGTCATGTTTTTGTAATGAAGGAGAGTGATCAATGCACAGTGGTAGCAAGAGAAAGCAGGGTTTTCAAGGGTGTTTTAAATTCATCATCCAAGGAATTAAGCAGAGCATCAGTTGTGATTAGATCTTCATTTAAATTCCACTCTTTTGTGGGGCCCATCACCTCTAGTACTAGTTCTGGAATAAATCCAACACTCTCCCTCTTCTCTACTTATCCCTCTCTTTCAGTTGCTCTCAACCTTTCAGTTTCACATGCCACACAATCTGAGACAGCAAAATATAGTACGATCCACCTAGAAAAACCTCCACAGCCTTTTCACATGCCAGGAGCCTAGGAAATGCAGGCAAACGGGCTGGGTAGAGGAGCCACCCCACGTGTTCAGAACTTTTCCCTCTCTCCTTTTTTTAAACTATCCTTCTTCAAGGGTTTTAAAGGCTTGGGAAGCTTCCGAGCAATGGCAAACGGCATCACCATCATCCTTGCAAAACTTGGAAGCAAGAATGGGCAGCGGGTAGGTTGGGGTCTCCCGGCGATTCGCAGACGTTCTGCAAGCCGTTTACTGTGGCCCATACCTTCTGATAGGTCATTCAGACAACGATCATGGGGGACTGAAGACAGAAACGGGGGATTTTTAAAACAACTACAAGCTTCAATGAGGGACGTGGTGGCGCTAAGGGTTAAACCGCAGAAGCCTCTGTGCTTCAAGGTCAGAAGACCAAGCAGTCGTAAGATCGAATCCACGCGCCGGAGTGAGCGCCCGTCGCTTTATCCCAGCTCCCGCCAACCTAGCGGTTCAAAAGCGTGCAAATGCAAGTAGATAAATAGGGACCACCTCGGTGGGAAGATAACAGTGTTCCGTGTCTAAGTCGCACTGGCCATGTGACCACGGATGATTGTCTTCGGACAAAACACTGGCTCTACGGCTTGGAAACGGGGATGAGCACCGCCTCCTAGAGTCGAACACGACTGTACAAAAATTGTCAAGGGGAACCTTTACCTTTACCTTACAAGCTTCAATAGGGCGCTGTGGCTAGTCACAGGTCTTCAGCAGTGTTCTCATCACGCTCCTTATAAACCTGAGACATTCTGGCTTTTGTGCCCACCCTGGCAAGGCAGGATTCTCTGTAAAACACAGTATTGCAGGGAAGGGTGGAAGGCATCGGGAGAGGAGGAGGAGGAGGAGGGGAAGGATGAACTCCCTGTAGGAATCCAGAGGTGGGCGTTTAAAGGAGCAGGGGAGGGCAGTTGAAAGCAGGACATTACGGAGGCCGCTCATTTACAGGGTCGGCAGAGGTGGGGAGGCAACTTGACAGCACAGAACAATGACAAAGGAAAGACAAACAGTCAAGAAGCAACATCAAAGGCAGAGATCGGAGAGGCTGGCTATTTCTGGAGGGCCACGTCTAGCCTTCGATTCCAAATTTTTGGAGTAACAGAACGAAACACCCCCCCCACGCACATTTCACAATAAAGCGCCACACATAAAATACGACCCCTTCCCTTCCGATTGCAGCACGAATCATTGATTTGCCAGCTGATGTGATGTTTTAGTAACAGCTGTTCATCAGGAAGTAAGGACATAGGTGAATTATCAAGAATCAAGGCAGGATGTTACCAGGAAGGGCAGAAACAGGCAATTTAAAGGGATCCTTCCAGGACCCCTGCGAACTGCACCACAGAAGAAAATGTGAGGTCCATGGCGTAATTAATTGAGCCTGGAGCTGGATTTATAACATAAATACAATGACTACACAACAGAAGACAAAATGGCATAGTGCTTACGCAGAAAGAAGCAAGACTGAATATATATATATATTCCATTATATCTTACAGTTTCACACAGAGACTGGGTGGAGCAGGCTAACGGCAGAGACGGCTTCAGAAGGTATGCAAGCCTTTCTTAGAGGCAGCGGATCTTGTCCGAACTGTGAGAAGGCGTGTCCCAGAGGGCGATTCATGGAGAAAGACACCTCCACCTGCTGCAAAGTTTGGTAAGAGCATGGACTGCTAAAAAAGAAGTAAATAAATATATAGCACAGCGAACGACATGTGTCCCTGATCCCTCCAGTGTTCAAACATCCCGTGTGGATCAAGAACGACATTCAGCAGGGGAGAAAAACAATACATTTGGACTGCCAGAATTACTGATTAGGTGATATTTGTTTGTTGTTTGTTTATTTGTTTATTTATTTGGTTTTTATACCGGCCATTTAGACGAATGTGCTCTGGGAGGTTTACAGTCCAAAAAGCAATAAAATTAGAAACATCAGCAAAGTGATACAGCTCTAAAGTAGACTGGAATTTTTTTAAAAACAAGTTCAGACTGCAGGACACTGCCGTCGGATACAAAGCAAATTATGTGGCTTTTACACTGGAGATGGCAAATGAGGCAAATTTACAGTGACAGGGATGGCAAGTCAATTTAAATTTTTCAATTCAGTTTGTGCACATGAGGCAAACTGATTTAGATTTATTCAATTTGACCTCTGAGTGAAAATAAATGACCTTTTGGTGGAACAGTAAAACATTTTGATCAAAATGGCGTGATATGATTCTCAAACAACCTGTGCTTCCTTATGTGTCGTTTAGTCAGTCACCTTTTTTTTAACATTGATTCAAAACACGCTAAACCTGATTCCACTGTGGGTTTTCCCCCCTACTGTAATCATCCCCTAAGCTGGTGCTTTTTCATACAGACTTGAGATGCTCGCCTCATCTGGTGTGTTATTTGTTAAAATGGTCCTGAGGTCAACCATTGTCAACTGGGGAACGGCAGGAGACCTGTGAGGGTCGTGTGGTCTCTTTGGTGTCCCGTCCACTGCATTGCCACATCACTTTTAAGTTCCATCTTTTCTGCACCAACCTCCCGGAGCACCTGGAGAGCCAGCTCCTTACCCCACCTAGACCTCCTCTCCTCTTCCTCTCTTGCTGCAGGTCCAGAGTAATGATTCACCACATCAGAAAAGCAAAACCACAAACACATTATAGCACTGACAGTGAGTAGGTAGTAAATAAGAAAAGTAGTGAAACATATACTGTGTTTCCCTGAAAACAAGATAGGCTCTTATATTAATTTTTGCTCCGAAAAACACATCCGGGCTTATTTTCAGGGGATGTTTTATTTTTTTCCCCACGTACAACCATCTACATTTATTCAAATAGTCTTCTTCTGGTTGCTGTACAAGGGTGGAGGGTGGGGTTTCACTTCACTGAGACTTAGTTTTATGGTAGGGCTTATATGACGAGCATCCTGAAAAATCCTACCAGGGCTTATTTTCAGGTTAGGTCTTATTTTCGGGGAAACAGGGTAGCAACATATAGTAACGTAGCACACATACGGAGATAAGATTGCTCACGCCAAAGGTAAGGAACTTTAGCTGACCTGGACTCCCAGAAACACAACAATGCCTACATGACCTCCGAACACAATGGGATGCTACCAGATGTTACAAGGGGAGGTGTAAAGAGGCACATTTACAACACAACAGTCCTCAGTCCTTAAGAAGAGCAACACCAACATATAGACAAGGAATGCACACCTGGGGTGCGAGGAGGTCTGGAAATTAGAAGGACATAGGGAGGGGATCCCTCCATCTCTCTCCATTCCCTGTCAAGAACCAAGGGGTCATCGGATCACAGCCCAAACACCAATTAGGGCAAGGGTCCCAAATTGTTGCAGATCAGCCCCAATCCCGGTTTTGGGGTTTATGACTCCCTGTTTGTAAACAGCCTATATGTATCTGATCGATGTATTTTCGGGGCCTTCTCCCTCTTTCCAAGATGAGCCCCAGCTGTCTGTTTTGGCACAGTTTTGTTTTCTCAGTAAAAATGTGTAGTATCACAGCTGGCTCATCTGTGATCCTCTGTTGGAGCTTAGCTCAAATTCCCAAAAAGCCTTGAACTCAAGGCTAACTCCACTTCAAAACAGGATGTTATGGCACTTTAAAGACTACCGTATTTTTCAATTTATAAGACAACCCAGTGTATAAGATGACACACACACCCTTTTTTCTAACCCCAAATTAGAAAATTTAATCCCTGATTTCCCCTTCCTTTTGCGAAGCCACGGAGCTCAGCAAAAGGAAGGGAAAAAATTAGAACATTTAATCCCTGATTTCCCCTTCCTTTGCGAAGCCACGGAGCTCAGCAAAAAGAAGGGGAAAGGGGGCGATCAAAGGGCTCCCGGGGCAGAGGCAGCAGGAGATGGGAGACGGATCAAAGGGCTCCAGGGGCAGAGGCAGCAGGAGATGGGAGACGGAGGCCAAGAAGCAGCCCAGCTCGGCCACTTCTCGCAGTTGCCCATTGACTGCCACCGCTGCCACCAGATCACAAGGAGACTATCGCTGGAGGGGGCGATTGGACAGCGGTGGCAGCAGTCAAAGGGCAGCCGCGAGAGGCAGCTGAGCCGGGCTGCTTCTTTGCCTCTGTCTCCACTTCCGTCTCCTGCCTCCTGTGTATAAAACGACCCTCAATTTTTCCTCTAATTATTTTAGGAAAAAGTGTCATTTTATACATGGAAAAATACAGTAACTGCAATATTTTAAGTTCAGCTTCTGTGTAGGGGTCTCTGTATTCTAACTCCTGTGTCTGAAGAAGGATTCTGTGAAAGCTTGCCTTGAAATACAGCAGTCGGTCTTTAAAGTGCCGTGACGTCCTTTTGCTACTGCTGTGTGTTTCTTGTTGAAATGCTTGCACGGACTAACACGGCTACAACCCCAAGCACTAATGCATGTGCTTTACAGAAGACTTTCCCCCCTCCTTGGCTCTAACTGAGATTAGTCCTCTCTCTCTCTCTGTCTGTCTCTCTCTCTCTCACACACACACACCAATTCCACTGTGGCACACTTACCCAGAGCTGTCTACTCCCGAAATTCAGGATATGTTCCTACAAATCATCAGCCTCCTCTCTGGCCTCATGTGAAAGGATAAGACCCAACTGCACCAACTGCCAGGAAGCTAGAGCTGAAGGAAATGCAACCCCTGCCCTTTGGTCCAGGAGCCGGTCAGTTAAGTTCATCTCCCGGTTTGCCCTCCAGCCCAGGCTGGCCAGCCTTCACACTTTCCCATTTATTGTGCCAATGGCTCCAAGCCCTTGTGTTTCCTGCAATGGGGGCAGAGGAGGGGGGGCAGGTACTCCTCAGCAACCCTTGGCAAAATATCTCTGCCCAGCAGTTGGCTGGCTGGGTTTTCCTATGTCACCAAAACAGTGTGCAAACCTTACTGACAATCCTGTCCTGTCTGGGCCATGCAGGAACCTCTGCCTTTCCTTTCTCCCAGAGCTTGGAGACGCTCCTGCTTAAACAGCTGCAGATCCAGCCTCTGGCCCCCAAAACTGGCAAACCCAGCAGGAGGATGCTTCACGAGGTGCATGTCCATGGGACACATGAGGTCACAGAAGCTTTCTTCCTATCCATTTCCAGGTCACTCCAGACGAAAGGCTGTCCTTGCAGGCGAAAAGTTGTGTTCCAGCTTGATTACCTGCATGGGCTTCATCTCTCAGAATCTGGCCCTGCTGGCGGGGGGATTTCCGGGCTTGCGGAGATAGTGGGTGCCAATTTGTCTCAGGAGAGCCCTCCCTGGCCGTGCTCTTTAATGTCAAGTCATGAAGCTAGAGATGGGCACGAATTTTAAAAAGATAAATCACCAAATTTGTTCAAAAATCACGAATGCATCGATTCATGTTCAGATGAATCGGTGCCCCGGCGAATAAAAATCAATGGGTTTTTAGCTGTTTTTGATTTGTCTATTCATTGGGCTGTAAAATGCCCCCCCCTCCGGGCACCTGGAGACTTCTAAATTGCAAGAGATTTTCCCCTGACTCTCCTCTAAGATCCCACCAAGTTTGGTGGAGATTGGCTGTCAGATGTCTGAGCTATACACCCACAAAGAGGGCTCCCCTGGAAAGTTTCCCCCAGGCACCTAGAGACGCAGAAATTGCCTAGAAGCTTCTACTGACTGTCCTCTACAGTCCATCCAAGTTCAGTGAAGATTGGGTTTCCCCAAGCCAGCTGCTCAAGGGCATTTTCCTGCGGGGGGGGGAACCGACTTTGTGGGTGTATAACTTGGCTGTCTGAAACCCAATCTTCACCAAACTTGGAGAGATTGTAGAGGAGAGTGAGGGGAAGCTTCCCTACAAATTTGGCGCCTCTATGTGCTGGAGGAGCATTTTATAGGGGTTTAAAGTCAAAACTGAATCGACTAATTGATTCATCAGGAAAAAAATCGTAAATTCGTAATTCATGATTTCTCAGCCTTGATGAAACAAATCACCATTTCCCTGATTCCTGCCCATCTCTAAATGAAACCTTTTCTGCTTTCCACTACTGCTGTCTCAGTGTAAGTCATTGAGACTGTAAGTGCCAGTTGATGAGGAAGAAAGGGTTGACTAATCTGGAGAATTGGGAGCTGTGCTGCTCTGTGAATCTTTGCTCTTCTGCTACATTGCAAGAGGCATTTAACCCAAAATTCAGAAGTCTGCAACAGGGAGAGGATTCAGCAGACGTGGTCCATCTCCATTTGCAGTGTTTTCTCACACTTTCACACAAAGCCCAGCCTTGGCCTGTCAAATCCGACCTCCATTGTTTTTAACCCTTTTGGGCTATTCATTAATCCCTCCTATAAATTATTACACAGGCATCTGTTACAATTTCCCAATAATTTTGGAGAGAACGAGGAGAAAGGTCACGAATGCTAAAGGACGTGCTCCAAGTCAGGTTCAAGCCGACAGGAATAAGGAGGCCGGAAAAGCCTGTGACGGGGAGACCGGGCTCCCGTTTCCTAGAGTAGATCCCTCACTGGGGGGAGTCAGGAAGGGTCTGCTGATTTGCAGGCATTGAGGCAGAAAGGAGGAACCTGGACGGAGTCCCATTTTGATAACTCCACGAGTTATATTTCGATCCTTTCGTCCCACACTTGGGCTTGCATTCATAGATTCATGGGGTGGGAAGGGGCCTCGAAGGCCATCAAGTCCAACCCCCTGCTCGAGGCAAGGATCCAAGTCAAAGCAGGTCCGACAATGAATCTCTTGATTTCCTCTTGAAAGGCCCCTCCAATGTTGGAGGGCTCACCACCTCTCCCTTGAGGTCCTGGATTCCATCATCATCCTGCTCTAACAGCGAAGAGGGCTGACTTCCTGAGACCATCTGGCCACCTCTTCTACTTCTTCCATCTCCTCTGATGCAGGGAAAGCACCTGGTGTGTTTAATAGAATAATCCCCTGCCATCAATTCTGACTTATGGCAAAACTTTTCAGAGTTTCCTAGGTGGAGAGTACTCAGAAGGGGTTTCCCCTTCCCTTCTTCTGGGAGGGAATCCCTGGGACTGTGTGCAGCTGGCCCAAGGCCACCCAGGCTGGCTCTTCTCCCAGGAGGGCCCAGCCCTATGGGGCTTGCAATGGGAACAAGGAGAACCCAACCTGTCATGCCTTCGGCAGACAAGACCCTGGTGCGAAAGATGGGCAGGAGGCCGAGACCAAGGGAAGATCAGCAAACTCCTCCAGCTTCAGGTATTCTGGAGGAGGGCAAGCGCAGGCGCAACAACCAAGAGCTCCAGACAAGAGGTTATAGGTTGTTTTTGTTTTATTTGTTTTGCCAGTTGGTCTGCGGACATGATTCCTTCGTTAATCAATGAGCACAGGATTGCACCTCAAATAAACAACAACTGGTAGGCACTGGTGGAAGGTAAGAGGCACCAAAAACCCAGCAAATCGAGGCTGTTTTAGGGATGGTTGCCAGACGTTGAGCTGGGAGAGGCCACAGCATCCCCAGGAGGGGAGCGTTCCGGGAGCATTGCCACCCTCCCATCCCCTTTGGGCACAGAGACCATCGTTCCTTGGTAGCTTCTTATACTTTGGGGGAGGAGGAGTATCCAGGCCGCTCACCCCTAGGCACAGACTGCATGCGTTTTCCCAAGGCATGGTGGGCAATTCACATTTAGAAGATAAATGCTTTTCAGAAGGGGTGTCCGTCCTCTCCTTCAAACCCAGGACGGTGAGCTGCAGAGGGTGGCGAGGGGCTCTCCAGCGCTCTCACCAGATTTCGCACCCTGGCCAAGATTTTGTTGTGTGCAAAACCACTAAACCAGTCCACGCCCCACCCGAACGAGGGTGTTTGGCGCCCCTGGGTCTGCTGGCGTCCGTCTCCCGTTGCCCCTAAAGGCTGGTCTCCTGTTCAACACTTCCATGAACAGAGCTTCGGCTGCAAAGCCAAAAGGGCCCGGATGCACCCATGGGTGGCCTGGGCCCCTGGCTATGCACGGCCCATCGGCCCCTTGCCGGGTTGCTGAAGAAGCCTCTGCGACTGGAGCTCCATCCAGGGTCAATGCTGAACAGGATCCTGACCTTCCTGTTTGCTTTTTTTGGCACAGGTCTTTGCTTCTCAATGGGAACGGAGACCAGGTGCTGTTTGCAGCAGTTATAGAGACCTTAAAGGGGAGTCCGTGATTTCCCTTGCTCTTGTGACGCTTGGAAACCCTTCCTGCGGCTCTCGAAGGCTGCAGTCACACTGGCCATGAGAGCCGCATTTCAGTACCATTTAAATCGATTTAGATTTTATCGTTCACACAATGCAAAGGTGAAATCAATTCAAAGGGGTTCAAAGAGAGATTTTTTTGTTCTTTTTTTGTTTTCAGCTGGCTGGCAGGGGCTTTTTAAAAACACCTTGCTTCTGAAATCCTGCCAGCTCAATGCAGTTTTGTGGATGTGAACCACTGTGGTCGTTTTAATTTCTGCCTACGTGGATTTTGGGTGACGGGGGCACTGCTGGTTCTCCTTTTAAATGTTTTTAGAATTCTTTCTTTAAAAGCTTAAAACTGCATCATTTCACCACTATGTGTGGCGTTACAATCCCCTGCCCCGTTCTCTCCATCCAGCTGATGAAGGGGCCAGTGGAGAAGCAGAAGGCCAGCTGGTGCAGAGTCGATGTGCCTGGACACAGGATACGGCCCATGCACAAGGGGCCTCATCCTGCAAAGGAGCTGGGAGCCTTCACCCCTCTTCTGATTTTTTCATCATGAATTGGCTGGGGTCACCTCACCAGTATTTCTCTCCCATGGTTTCTATAACCCAGGGGGGCACCTCCTAAACACTCGATTTATCAATGTATCCCTGACTTTAAAAAGATGAAGCAAGCTCAAAACCTGGAAGAAGAGTGGGCTCCTAAAACAGAAAGGAAACGAGGCGATTTCAGCACGGCAGACCTCCAAACGGGTTTAAACCACCAGACATAAATCGGTTTCCACCTGGTGCGTGTGAACGCGCCCCCCTCCCCGGTTTAAACACCACGTGACTTGAACCTGGTGTTAAAAGATGCAGAACAGAAATGGATTCCAGCTGCCTGTGTGGCCACAGCCTCCGTTTACCCTGAGACCGTTCCAAATCACCGAGGAGGCAGAACAGAGGCAGTCGTTTTCCTGTCTCTCCACCCTGTCTTTCAGGAGGAAGCCCAAGCCTTTGGCAGCCAGCCTGCCAGCCAGCCACCCCCCCCATGGCCTGGTCCCCTCACCTGAGCAAGGGGGAGGCAGACCGAGGTTGCCCACCTCCCATTTTCCAGCCAGAGGAAGAAAGTGTTCAGAGCCCAAAGCTTTGGAGATGAACTTTAGGGTTTCCCCCCTGGGTTCTCCTGGCACAACCCCAAACAAAGCCTTCACCCCTCACAGGCTCTCGGGCAGCTATTGTCTGTCCTTAAGCGTCACCAGACATAAATCGGCTTCCACCCGGTGTGTGTGAACGTGGCCCCCCGGTTTAATCACCACGTGACTTGAACCTGGTGTTAAAAGATGCAGAACAGAAATGGATTCCAGCTGCCTGTGTGGCCACAGCCTCCGTTTACCCTGAGACCGTTCCAAATCACCGAGGAGGCAGAACAGAGGCAGTCGTTTTCCTGTCTCTCCACCCTGTCTTTCAGGAGGAAGCCCAAGCCTTTGGCAGCCAGCCTGCCAGCCAGCCACCCCCCCCATGGCCTGGTCCCCTCACCTGAGCAAGGGGGAGGCAGACCGAGGTTGCCCACCTCCCATTTTCCAGCCAGAGGAAGAAAGTGTTCAGAGCCCAAAGCTTTGGAGATGAACTTTAGGGTTTCCCCCCTGGGTTCTCCTGGCACAACCCCAAACAAAGCCTTCACCCCTCACAGGCTCTCGGGCAGCTATTGTCTGTCCTTAAGCGGGACGGCGACTCCAGCCCCCTAACAGAGCCCAGCCTGTAGCTGCCCCAGGGGAGAAGCAGGTCCAGGGGAGGAGGTTCTGCGCCCTCCGTCAAATACCCAGCTTGTCAATGCAGAAGGTATAGCATCTCCAATTCAGAAGAGACTCTCCCCCCCCCCAGGGGTTTGGTTGTTTACTCTACCCTGGCCTGCCCGGCTCATCCCCCTCCCCATCTCTGTCACTTCCTCCCTGAGACCCAAAGAGCCTCCGCAGCAGAAGGCCCCTTCCCACGTTCATAACATGCTTTGCCTGTAACAGAAAGTGCTCGAGACACACAGCCCTGTAGGAAGCCAGGGGGTTCTCTTACAGTGGACCCTTGACTTACAGACGGCTTGACTTACAGACTTTTTGAGTTACAGACTTCTCTGGCTGCAAAATTTAGGTTTGACTTGCAGACTGAGATTTGACTTACAGACCAGAAAAAAAAACCAAAATGGAGCAAAAACGGCCTGTTACGGGATTAATTGGTATTCAATGCACTGTAGGTCAATGGAGACTTGACTTACAGACTTTTTGACTTGAGAACCGCCTTCGAATACGGATTAAGTTCTCAAGTCAAGACCCCACTGTACTTTCAAGTCACCCTAGAGGAGGTGCTTTAAAACGTAATTAGAAGTGTAACTCCTTTAAGTGGGAAAAGGCCTCTGTTTATCCGAGCCTTATTCCAGCTTCCCTGGATGGGGAATGTCCAATTCTCCATTTCAAGCTCAGAGTGCAAAAAGCCCCAGCAAAACCTTTGGGGAGACAAACGCAGGGAATCTGTGCCTCTTGACCACCATTAGGACCCCACTGCTGTTAAATTCTCTTTTCCTACTGATGGGTCACAGGCTGGCCGGGTGTCCCCTCCTCCCCATTAGAGGTGACACAAAACTAGCGATCTAAAGCATCAGGGAGTCCTAGAGTGATGGAGCTGGAAGGGCCAACTGGAAGGCCATCGAGTTGAACCCCCTGCTCAAGGCAAGGAATCCTGACTCGAAGCCGGTCTGGCGGAAAACAAAGGTGGGCAAACGAGCATCCAGGGGTGCTGCAGATCTCTGCCCCAAGAAGGGCACCCGAGGGGCAGTCCCGGGACCCTCATGAGCCCAGCCTCCAGCTTTGAGGAACCCTCCGGGGCCTCGGAAGCACCCAACCCACACCCTCACCCCCCCAACTCCTGGCAACCACACAAAAGCGCCGAGAGATCCAAATCTTTCCAAACGAACATTTCTTGTCCAGACTTGTCTCTGCCGACTGGGCTGACTTATTCGACCACGTCCACGATGAGAGGAGCCACGTAATCCGAGTGGCGGATCCCGAAGGTCAAGCCACGCTGCTGGGTGTACTGGAGGGGAGACAAGAGGAGGCGAGGAGAGGAGGGTTACTGCCCGCGGACGGGAGGAGCCGGAGAGGAGAGGAAACGCTCACCCGGCCCGAGAAAAAGGAGGCCAGAGCGGGCGGTCAGGCTCCTGGGCACTCCAGCGGCAGAAAAGCAGCCGCTCCGAGCCACTCTGGCTGACCCAAAAGCCAATTTCTCACACCCTGGAGGCCGCCCCCTTCCCACCCCTCATCTCCCCATCATTGAGGTGCGCCCGCACAGAAAAGCGCCTGGAAAGGCTTGGTCTGAAGCACAGGTGGGCACGAACCCAGCCACAAACCAGAAGAAGAAAAACACCAACAAACCAGGCTGGTTCGTGGTTGGGTTTGCAAACCGCTTTGTCGAAGCAAATTTTTTTTTTTTTAAATGCCGAACTTATGTCCCCTCGGCTTTTTGTCTTGCTTTGGCAAAATGGACAGATGCTTGGCCCCCGACCCGGTCCTCCTGCTGCCACACCGCCGGCACTACCATTGTCAGAGACAGTGGGCCCAGCGCCCCTTCCAGGAGATGGGCTCGCAGTCTCTGAGCATGTGCATGCTGCGCTGCCCTCTTCCCTGGCGGTTGGCTCTGAGGATGGTGGTGGTGGCAGGACCAGGCGGGGAGGTGGCGGGGGCCGTGGGAAGGGGACGGGGGGGTGGCCGAGGAGCCCAAAGAAAGGGGGGGCAGGGGG